TGACCTTTAGTACTCTAAATATGATCGAATCAATTGGAAACCACCACTTAACGATTTAGCATGAAACTCTGAGTCTAAAAAACGTTCCTTTGAACGATCTAAGTAGTGGTCAATCTTGCGGTCTTCGGCGCCCCTGCCATTTCGGGAAAAACATTGGCTTTTGTTGTATCCGACAGTATATGACGTGTCCATATTCTACTATGGTTTCGTCTTGTATCATTTAGTTGTTTCAACACCATTGCTCCATCTGCGTGTCTTGTTAAAGTCAACGAATACTGTTCATCGACATGCAAGACTCATATTCAGTTTCAGCAGCAATGGAAAAACTTGTCCACTTAACAAGCCAGCCGTACCATCAACTTGATATACGAGCAGCTTTGTCAACGGAAATAAAAAAAGCGCATCAGGCTTCCGGGAAATTTTCAAAAATATCTACTCATGTACTTGATACTATTGATGCGAACATGAGCGAGCAACTAGAGAATCGGCTGCAGGAGGCGAAAAATAATTACACCGGAGAGCGTATTGTACTTATTCTTTGTAATATGGGTAGTTTTCATTGGATTGGCATTTTGCTGGGGTTCAATATTGACGGGTGCATTTGGCGAGCTCAATCATTTGATCCAGTCACAGGCTCTGACCATCTTACCGACAAGATCCAGACAGCTTTTTCCAAGGTTTATCCAGACATCATTCTACGAGTAAACACTCTATTGAAACACAAAGATCACACGAAAAGTGCCATTCTCACCATTGCGAACTTACTGATCGCCACCGATGATGCACAGTTTTCTCAAAGGGATAGCTTAAATGGGCAAAAACTGAATTCTTCATACGACGACGGCAGACAAAATAACAAAAATAAAATGGACCAAGTACAAGCGTATCCAACATCAAACGAAGGTAACATTTCTGAGTACGATGAACTTGAAAAACAAGTAGCCGCGAGATTAAAAAGTTTCAACATTACAGATATCGAAATATTGCCAGAAAAGATTCGTCGTAGTGAACAACGTGTAAAGGATTTTCGAGAGGATGGAAGACACGATGACGCAGCGAAGGAAGAGAAGCATATGAGTGAACTCAAAGAAATGCAGGCATTGGCTGAAAACATAGCCAAGTTAAAAGCATCGATAAACTGCGGCGATGGGAAGTTGCGGGAATTGGAACAAAGCTTAGCGAGCCGTCAGGCAAAGTTGAAGATAACAGACTTGAGCGTGTTACCCGAGAAAATCCGTCGTAGTGAACAACGTGTAAAGGATTTTCGAGAGGATGGAAGACACGATGAAGCAGCGAAGGAAGAGAAGCATATAAGTGAACTCAAAGAAATGTTGACATTGTCTCAAAAAATTACGAAACTGAAAGCATCAAAAGACAGTGGCGAAGGGCAGTTAATCGCACTAGAAGAGAGCTTAACCAACAGCAAAATAAAGTTAAAGATAACCGATTTGACTGTACTACCTGAGAAAATCCGTCGTACTGAGGAACGTGTAAAAGATTTTCGAGACGATGGAAGAAACGATGATGCAGATAAAGAGACAAAGTATTTATGCGAACTGAAGGAGTTGCAAGCATTGTCTGAGAAAATTGCCCAACTAAAAAATACGATGAACAGTAGCGAATGGAAACTATGCCAGTTGGAAAAAAGCCTACTGAGCAATCAGGAGAAGTTGAACATAACCGATTTGACTGTCCTACCGGAGAAAATCCGTCGTAGTGAACAACGTGCGAAAGATTTTCGAGACGATGGAAGAAACGATGATGCGGAAAGAGAGACTAGGTTTTTGAGTGACCTGAAAGAATTGCTGGCATTGTCTGAAAATATCACCAAGCTCAAGAGTTCAGGGAGCAATTGTGATTCGCAGTCGGTTACACTAGAAGAACGCTTAGCCAATATTAAAGCAAGATTCAACATAACCGATTTGAGTGTACTATCCGAGAAAATTCTTCGTAGTGAGCAGCGAATAAAAGACTTTCGAGATGATGGCAGAAACGACGACGCCGAAAAAGAAACGAAGTATGTCGACGAACTTAAAGAGCTGCAAGAACTCGGAAAAAGAAAAGATGACTTGAAACTTCCGAACACACAGAGCGAAGTAACAATTGACTCCTCTGCAAGTAAACAAGCCGAAGAAAAAATTGAGTCTTCTTCAACCAAAACTGATAAGCTAGTGCTGACGGATCTTGACACGCTACATCAAGATTTGCTTTTTTTACCTGTTTGCGCCGAAAAGGTAGCAATGCAACTTTTGGAATACTTTCAACAAATTATGGCATCACAAAATAAGTCAGTCACCTTTTCGAACAGTTCAGTATATCAACTATTTCACGAACTAGAAAATCAGATGGACCAAGAAGAAATGCTCTCGGACACTGTGCGTAAAAACTTGCAGGACCTACGGCGATACGTTGATAATCAGGATGCTTCATCGGCGAACCGTTGTCTTGCAGAGTTATTGAAAAAAATACGACCTCTTCATGTGCAAGAGATTCAGCGCCTGATTGACAAAGCGAAAGCAGCAGCCAAAGTGATCGAGGATCAAGATGTTATCCTTTTGATAGGTGAGACAGGAACTGGAAAGTCGACGACCATTCAGTTTCTTGCCGGTTGCCAGATGGAAAAGAAAAAGGTCGAAGTTGAAAATGGTCGATTTCTTGAGCACGTCGAAGCAGTCGAGCCAATTAAAAACCCTGAGCTGAGACGCATCATCAGTAGTCCGCGAAACAAATCCGAAACACGCTATATCACGCCGGTCACAGTTCCGTTGAGAGACATTTTTGGGCCGCATGAGACAGGCGAGTTCATCATCTGTGATGCACCGGGCTTTGGTGACACAGCTGGTCCAGAGGTCGACATAGCGAATGGCGTGGGAGTGATCGAAGCGATTCGTGGATGTAAGAGTGTCAAGATACTTGCTCTCTCAAGTTACAAAAGCTTGGGCGATAGAGGACAAGGGATTCAGAAATTGACGCATCTTCTGATCAACATGATGCGTGACATTGAAGATAGACTCGGCTCGATTTTCTATGGGTTCACAAAATATCCGTCGAGCAGTGACATTTCAGCACTGTTAATCGACGTGAAGATTTCCAAAGTTGACACGGATCCTCTGCTGCGATCTGATAGTGCTTTTGTAGCCGTGTTAACCGACATGATCAATAAAACGAAGGTTGGTGTTGAAAAGATCGATCCGTTGAGTGGAGATCCAAAAAGAACGATTGAAAGATTGAAACAAGTGCGCGGTATTATGTATCCTCGCGATGTTTTTCAGTTTTCCATGAGCGAAAATACACAAGCATGTATCGCGAGTCAGGTTCAACGAGACAGTTCGAATGTAAAAGTGGCATTGAAGCATAGAAATCATGCTCTTGTGAAGCATTACTTGAACAATGTGAAGACATTGAATGATCTGCTGGAGCAAAGTTCCATACGAGATGCTTACGCAGAACTCGTACGTTTTGTTAGCAACACCATCAATGAACATTGTTCAGAAGTGATGAAGAAATTCAATCGCGCATTGGCTAGTCAAGATGGATTGAGAGACGAAGACATTCGAGAATACAAGAGTTGTGTTGAATACATTGAACAGATTCAAGTTCTGAGAGAAAACGTCGGATCTGACCTGCTGCTACCAGATACTTTGATGGTAAATATTCGTTCTGAACTCGATAAGCGAGCCCAATCATTACATGATGAAGAGTTGCATAGTGTATCCATGAGAATCTATTTAGAGAATCTTGGTTTACTCAAGAATAGTTTCGACGAGTTTGGAGCGTTGCATCAAAGATGTTGTCGAGACTTTGAAAATCGACTCGAAAAGCTTGCTCAATCTGTACATGAACCTATCGACGCGAATGAGTTCAGCAAGGTTGCAGAGATTATACTTCTGATTTCAAAATGTTCAACAGGTCTGAATAATAATTTTCATGGATTGGTAGAACAACAGTATCGAAAAACTGTCAGTGCGGTCTTAGAGTATTTGAGTAATGTGTCGGAAAAAATCAATCATATGGTAGATAGCATACGTCTTAGTGAAAGTGATGTAAAGATGATCAAAACTTGCATGAATATACTTAGAGCAGCTAGGGACAATGTTTCGCTGCAAGATCGTATCGAGACATACAGAAAAATGTTCCAAAAGCAAAAAAATGATTCGATGGTGAATGTGAAAGGTTTGAATGAAATCTGCAATGAATTCATCGAAAAAGTAGTGAGTTATTTCAATCAGATAAATAATCGAGTAGAACAAATTTTCGAAGCCAGTGGAGACCATGCTCTAGAAGACATCGAAAATTTAGTAAATGACATGGATGCGATTCGAACAATCCCAGAAATTGAGTCTAAAACTGCAGGAGCTTATTATCGCACTGCTGAAAAAATACGTGGATACATGCAACAAATTCAACGGGATGTGGAACAAATGATGCAAACTATTGAGCAACAATCAGGAACGCCTAATTACGGAAAAATTGCTCGTTCATTATCACGCCTGAAAAGTGGGAAGTGGATGAATCGCGTAAGCCCGGGAGCGTATGATATATCAATACATCGCATAACAGAAGAATTAATTCAATATTTTCACCAACTAGAAGATCGTTTGATGAAACTTGATTTAAGCCTGAAATACCCCGAGAATATCTGTGTGGCACAAGAGATCTTCGATCAGATTGAATCTTTGAGCGTATTAGAGCGTACTATTCCTGAGTTGAAAAAGTCTAAAGAGGCTATGATTAAACGTTTTCTTGAATACGTACAGGCTACATTCGATCGTATACAAGTTGCTTTGAGTTTACAAGACATAAATGTGTACCAAATGAAGAAAGAACTAAAAAATCTTGAACAGATTAAACAAGAATACGAGAACCAACATCCAGCTAGTATGTTTTTGAGGAAGCAAAACTTTTCCGATATCAGCCAATTGAATGCCAAACTTGAGGAACTCAAACAAAGCCACACGAGCGAATGTGCAGAAGCAAAAATTGAGCAAGGTAAAATTGAATCACAATTGACCGAGTTGAGATCGATCAATGACAAATATGATGACTTATGTCTCTCAACGGGAGAACAAGATGAATGCAAACAAAATAAGAAAACCAATGCACAAGCGGATAATTATTTGATATCAACTAAGTATTCCAACATTGACAATGTACGTGAAGCCATTATTAGAAACGAAACATTTCGGGTTGATCTCTTGCAAACACTTAAGGAACAGCGCACAAAATATGAAAAGTCTTTGAGTTGGCTTGAATCCGTCAAAAATGAGTATGAGCAGCTGCTGAATGCACCTGGTCCTACCTCTTCTGAAGCAATGAAGCTTGTTCGAGAGAGAAGCCAAATAAGTTTCGAATCTCTCGAAGAAAATATTGCGGAAAAGAAAAAAATGATTGATGATCGTGAGAAAAGCAAACTATCGCATGATTTTAGTAAGAAGCCTGATGCATCCACAGCAGATACTGCTATTGCATACATCAATAATTGCGAGAAAATAAGTGATGTTAGTGTAAGAAAAAGTGCAGCCGATACTGGTACAATCTTGAAAAAGTTTATCAGCGAATATGGTAATCATCTTAATGAACGAATTCGGAAGGCTTGGGCAGATATGAACAGCATTACAAAGCGAGAAGAAGTTTTGCAGGTTTCTCAAGATTTAGAATTGTGTCTAGAAGAATTATCTGGATTAAGTAAATTTACGAATGTTTTTGTATGTATCGGAGGAGATGAGAAAGTTGGATATTGGCATCGAAAGCTTCAAGAGGAATATCGTGACATGAGTAGGGAAATGGAAAACTGTAAAGAGTCCGGTAATAATGAAGAATTACGACGGCGACTGATAAGAGCGCAACTCTTGATTGCTTCAGATCATTTCTGTGCTAGTACGCGTGCCAATCATGCATTTGGAGATTTGTACAGAAAATATCAGGTAGAGATAACCAAAGATTCCAAAGAAACTTATAGAAATGTCCTCAGTTACTTACTACAAGCAGACTATGAAAATGCCGAACTGGAGTTGTGGAAAATCGATGAAAAAACATGCAGTGCGCAAGATCAAAATCAGATGAAAGAGGTATTACAAACGGCGATCAAGAAATTATTACATAGCACTCGGTTGATGATCAATAACATTGATTTCAAAGGTGGTCGAAAAGAGAATAATGACATTCAAGAACAAAAGCTAATCGAAAATATGGAAAAAATTCATACGTGTGCGACAAAAGGAAAACTTATAGGAATGCTTGACAAAACACACAAAGAGAGTCTGGAACAGTTTGAAAAACAAATGACCGACAAGTTAGATGACGTGATCAAGAAAGGCATTGAATTCATTGAAAGCTGTATAGGTAATGATGACTATTTGGAGGCAGAACAATGTATGGAACAGCTTATTCGAGTACAGCGTGAACTGATAAGTCATTTTACAATGGGCGAAGGCACAAGTATTGATGACGTGAAAATGAAAGTAAGGACTTTAGATACTAGTATTTTACAAAGACATGACTTGAAAGCTATAAACAACTATCACATTAAGTCACCTAGAGCCCTTTTGGATAAATTGCTCAAGGCTAATCAAGAAGGTTATGCCAAGTATAGAGCAGCTCACGACTCAATATTGTCAGAAATTGAACATAACTTTGAGATGGCACTAACTGCAGCACGTACTGCGTCATTCGAAGAGCGACTGAAAGCATTGAGTCCATTAACTTGTGCGTGTCGGTTTTTACCCAAGTCTTTAGAGTCTAAATTCAAACCAGAAATTACGAAGCTTCACGAGATAATTGTGGAAGAAGAGAAAGCATATAAGCGTGATTTAAAGAACTTTATCGAAAACGGAGTAGAGGACGAACAAACCATAAAAAAAGTAGGCCAACTTATCGAACAATATTCACTGGAAAAACGCGAAGCGCCTCTGGAGATGTTAACCGAAGGAATGAAACAAAAGTTAAGCAAGCATGAGATCACGATGCAAACATCACTCGCTGATCATCAGATAAAAGCCGCTGCCAAGAGCTTTAAGTATATCATTTTGTACAAAAATAGTGTCCATGATGTATCAGAAGTGAATCAAATTTATACACATGCATGCAGTTCGATGTGTTCTAGCTTCACAACTTACATGGATACTTTAACCTGCATATTCAATTTTGAACAGAGTCAAAAAGTCAGCGAAGCTTTTGATAATATACTTCTTTATCTTGAAGTATGTCAGGACACTGGACTTCAAGAACTACTTCCTCAGACGCTATCAGAAAAGAGTAGGGGTGATTTGAAAAGTCTACATGATTCTTGGCATCGAAATTCGGAAGCATACAATACGGCGATCGAACAGATGGCTTTTAACTCGTTGCATGAAGTTATGATGAAATCAAAGCCATGGGATGAACTCCTTCAGAAAGTTAAAAGTTGTCCTTGCCAGCATATTTTATTGAAAGAGTTTCTAGAGAAAATGCAAAAAATTCTTTGTTATGATGAAATGAAATCTATCCTACAGGGGAAGATCGCAGATTTGAAAAAGAATTTTAGTGTAGAATTGATTAGTGATGAAACTACACGATTTGAAAAAGTACGCAATCAGTTCTTTCAGAACCTTCGAATATCCATTGATATCTTCAATGAGATTAATCTAAAGTTTCAAAATCTTCTGACATCTTTGCCCGATGTTAAACACTTAGAAGGAGATCTCAAAAAGAAAGTGATACAAATCAGTGACCAACTTATTGAAGTAGCATCTAAGAAACCATTGTCAATGATAGACACGGACGATTTTCGCAAATTTTATGACCATCTCGTTTCATTTGATAAATATGCACGTTTTCCGGATGTTGATGTTCGCACTGTTTTAGTCTCAGCTGAAAAACTAATTTTCGACGAAGTCACATTATTATCGAAAGAACTTGCGACTTTAAAAACAGACATCGAACAGATTGCTGGAGTATTGATGAAAATGAAGTTCTTAGCTGAAAATTTATCGATGTTCGATACTAAAATCAACGCAAAAATAAACGAAGCACTAGATTTGATTAAGACACAGCAGGGAACAACAGGTGTAGAGCAGCTAACTATGATATTAGAGGGCACAGATTTAGGAAGTCGATTGATAGCAGAGCATCCCGCTTTAAGTGGAGAGGACTGGCGGAAAAGACGTGAAAAAATGCAAAAACAGGATGACTTAAAATATGTATTGGATGAACTGCGAGGAGACGATATTGTTAAAGATGTTTTGGAAAGTCGATACAAAAGTTTCAGAAAACTATACGACAACTTGGTTGCTAACACTCTGGCAACATTCAATCAGAAAACGGAGACTGAGCCAAATATTGATGTATTGATCTCTCAAACGAAGTTTCTGCTTGGAAAAATAGTTCACACCCCAACATCTGTAAACTGGGATCAATCAGTTCGAGATCAGATTCCTGATTTACTAGCACACATTTTTGCGATATGGACTGCAAAAAATACTCAGCATTATAACACAGCTCGTGGCATAGATGCTGGCAAAGCCTATCTATTGATGCCACATGTTGCACAAGTACTCGCTATTTTTAGAATTCTTGGCATCGGTCACAAAAAAAATGTGACAGTCGCTGGATACAATGTACCAGGCATAAAACGACTATCTAGTTCGTTGATGAACAATTTGGTACAAGTAGGGACAGGCGAGGGCAAATCAGTGATTATGGCAGTGACTGCTTGTGTGTTCGCACTCATCGGAGTAGATGTCAGTTGTTCATGCTACAGCGAATATTTGAGTACACGAGACAAGAATGATTTCGCGTCTGTATTTCGAGCACTTGGAATCGATGAGAGAATCGAGTATGGCACCTTCAACAAGCTGTGTGAAAATTTGTTGAATGAGCAATGTAATGTGCGAGAAAAGGTGCGTGATATGATCTTGAAGAATAAGAATGCTGTCGATATTGTTCAACAAACTGAACGCATTCGTCCCAAAGTCTTATTGATCGATGAAGTAGATGTGTTTCTCAGTGAAAAATATTATGGTGGACTGTACACGCCTGCAGTGTACTTGAGAGATCCAACGATCAAAGCTTTTTTGGATAGTCTATGGATGAATAAAAATGTGCGCACTTTGAACGGTATTAAAGCCATGCCAACTTATAAGCAGTGTGCTGCACAATTCAGTAATTGGATGTTTCTCTTCGATGAAGCCATCAAAGATATGCTGGCTGCTCTACGATCGTTTCAAGCGTCGACCTATATTGTGCAAAATGATAGAATTGTGTATGTTGAAGGTGAATCTATTGTCGACAATGTTGTTCGAGGTTACGATACCATCTGGGCATACTATCATGAGAACCAGAAAGGTAATATCAGTAATGCAAGTCTAGAAACGAATGTAGGCATTATCATCAACTGTGGCACGTTCTCTTATGCTGAAATGCCACATGCCTTTTCTTATATCACAGGTGTAACGGGTACATTGGAAACTCTAGCGAAGCCAGAAAAAGAGATACTTTGTGATGTGTATTACGTGCAGAAAAACACCTATATGCCATCAGTATTTGGACAGAGCAATCGAAATTATAATCCTGAGAATGATGTCGCAGTTGTTAACAAGTCAGAATATTTCACACGAATTCGAGGACAAATTGATGTCATGTGTAGAGCTAAGCGTGCGATTCTGGTGTTTTTCGAATCCGAGGAAAAACTGATGCTTTTTTACAATTCTCCAGAGATGTCGACAATCAAGCAGAGTGTACAAATTCTCACCGAGAAAGTTTCTGTCAAAGATAGAGAACTCTGCATTAAGCGAGCAGCCAGCGATGGCAAAGTGTCGTTATTGACGCGAATATTCGGAAGAGGCACTGATTTCGTGTGTCGAAATCAAACACTTCTCGCTAATGGTGGTATTCATGTGCTGCAAACATTCTTCTCAGAAGAGTTATCTGAAGAGGTTCAGATCATGGGAAGAGGAGCTAGACAGGGTGATCAAGGTTCATACAGAATGCTTTTACTTGATAGCGATCTCGAATGGCTTCTCGGAGCTAGCTGGGAAGAGGCCATTTCGAAACTGAAAGGCTCCACTCTGTACTCGAGTTTGGATAGTGCTCGTAATAAGATCTATGCAAGCAAGTGTGAAGGAAAAAAAATTGGCATCGATCAGTGTAAGAAGTCACATGATGCATCGAAAGATTTCATGCAAGCACTAATCAAAGGGGACATGCGGATCGTCAGAAACTTTTTGATGGAACAAAATCGAGGAGCTTTCCTAGGAAGTGATTCCTCACGAACACTTCTACTTATGGATGCAACAGGTTCTATGTCAGGCTTATTGTCCGCTGCCAAAGACACCGTTTGCACTATGTTTGAACGTGCATTAATTGTTTTAAAAGAGAAAGGACTTTCGCAAGATTCATTCATAATGCAATTTGCTATGTATCGAAACTATAATTCAAGAGAAAACAAGATCTTGGAAGTTTCTTCTTGGGAGACAAAAGCAAGTAATTTGAGAACATTTATGAACACAATTAGACCCGAAGGTGGATGGGGAGACGAAGCAGTCGAAATAGGATTATGGCACGCTGTTCAAGAAAGTCAGACACAAGAGTCGATAGCTCAAGTGATAATAATAGCAGATGCTCCGGCTAACACAGAAGAAAACGTTAAAGTAAAACGAGCCGATTTCGGTGAGTCGTATTGGAACAATACTAGATTTTCTGTCCCAACATACTATAAAGACGAGTTACAGAAATTGAAAAACAAAAACATTCCTGTTCATGCATTCTATCTGGATAGCTATGCCAAAGAAAATTTTGAAGACATTGCGAAGGCAACGAAAGGAAGTTGTAAATCGTTGGATATTCATTCTTCGCATGGTGCCGAATTACTAACTAACTTTGTTACAGAGGAGGTTTTAAGAAAAGCAGGAGGAGAATCAGCAGTAGAACTATATAAACAGAAATTTGTGAAGACGGCTTATACATCATGAAATGGATCTGTAAACGAAATGAGATTTTGCCATGTGAACATGTGTGAGTAAACGCTGTCTGACGTATGGTTGTTGTTCTATTCTCGTAATCTTTTACTGTTACCCTATACCACTGTAACTTCCAAAAATCATGTACCAACTGATCCCTTTTTCATTGATTGTGATTGCGGTATGCCTTTTCTCTTGTTTTTAATTCATCATTTTTATATTGTCACCAATAATGGAAGATTTTATTTCCATGTTTTCTATTTTTATTTTTATTTTTATTTTTATTAATATCTTGAATAAAATACCACCGTATTGTGATACACACCTTTCTTTTTCTGAAGAGGGTGGGTGTGGGTGTGTGATACACTCAATTATTATAGATTAAAAGCATAAATTGATAAATAACAGCGGCTTGAAATAGAATCATTTTTTTCAATGTAATGTAAATTACAATAGAAAAGAAAAATACGTAGATTTTCGACGTTTTGAGGTACAATTAAAACCTCATTATCAAGAATTTATTTGAATAAGTACAAAGTGTAAGAATTACAAGTATAAATATGATGAAAATAACAAGAAAATAGAAAAAGGAAAACAAGATAACAAATACAATACAATTACAAAGCATTAGTCATTATCGAAAGGCTTAGGTAGTAACTCTTTCTGTAGTCCATCAGGAAAGACGATTAATGGTACAGAGTGCGTTGTTTGATTGAGTTCTGGTTCATAAGCCTTTATTAATAATGACTCTTTAATGGCCTGTTTCGATTTGATGTTGTTGAGCTGCAGATGTTGTTTCTTTAATGACGGGTGAGCTTGTTATAGTTGTTGTTGTCGTTGTTGACTTTGCTTTTAAACGATCAGATCTGTTTAATTCTATGATGTTATCAGTTTGTTCGGTGACATTGTCTTTCTGCTGCTGTTGTTGTTGTTGTTGACCTGATGATGACTTTGGTGCACCATGTTCATGTAATCGTTTAACACATTGACTTCCTGTTTTACCAATGTACGAATGTTGACATTTGGCATATTTGATTGAATAAACGACATCAGATTTCATTTTCTTGTCAATAGGATCTTTGGTTTGGTATAACATTTGTACAGCTGGTGGTAGTTTCATGAGAAATTGGATATCTAGATCTGGTCGGAGTTTGTTGCGTAAATGCGTTATTTTATTTCTAAATTCTTTAGTAGCATTTTCTATAAATGGTATTTCAACATACATTCGTTTTTTAACATCAGATCCAGTTTGTGGTGATTGTATAACATCATTATTCTTTTTTCGATATTGACTTAGTTTAATGCCAATGATAGTGTGGATAAAAGATGATGTATAACCATTCATTAATCCAATTCGACGTATTTCATTAAATTCAGCAGACGGAAAAATATTTAAGTAGATACCGCTGTTAGACGCGGTTTTTTGATAATGACCGCGGTTATATCTTTGGAGGCCGCGGTGTGCGAAATAAACTGCATTTTATCGCGGTATGTTTTACCGCAATATAGGTTTCCCCCTGTATGCTCTAACGAAACCGCCATGTAGTTACCGCTGGAAGTCGCGGTTTGAAAAAACTCGGTGATATGTAGATTATTTGCGGTATTCGAGAACCACACCCTTTCGCGATAGTATGTCTTGCGACCTTGCTATTACGAATCGCGATCTCCATACATTACTTCCAAAGATATCATTATTTAGAAGAATATAGTCCTAGTATATTCTGAGACATTTTATGTAATTGTTGTCATAATGAGATATCACAACAATTTTGATACATATAGTCATGATTTGATAAAAAAAATTCTGTTTAAATTTAAGTTCTGTTTTCTTCTACTTGAGAAATTAAACAGATTATAAGCTGATAATTTCAAAAATAAAAATATAACATTTTTTTATCAAACCTTAATAAACTTTATATCTATATTCATTTTGTATGATAATATAAAATTAATTTAAAATAAATTAATTCCAAAAGTCGAATTACAGAGAAAATATTTTAGAATCACATCAGGCCTGAATAAACGTCATGTAAAGTTAAGATTATATTAAATTAAAAATATAGACAAATATATATTAAAATATTAGTCAGATTTTACTCAGATAAATATTTCTGATAGGATTCACAAGATAGTGGAAGTTCAGACGCAAAAATACACGCAACTACATCATTTCGATTGATAAAATCGAGATATATGTCAAATAGTAATCTCATCTGCGTTTTGACATATAGATTTGTATATATACTGAATTACAAGAGTATTTCAAATAATTAGACTTTTGTGCCGCACGATACCGAAATTTCTCAATTATAGATTCTGATAAATTTGTACTTTCCTCCAGAAAGAATTTTATTAAAATATATTATGTTTCTACGTTAATAACCGTGACTAATTATAAACCAATAAATTAGATTTTGCAAATTACATACAGTTCATCAGCAACATGAATCTATTAGGAAGTTTGATAAAATTATAAATATCGTATAAATTACTAGTAATTCTAAGATTCTTATAAATTTGCTAGTAAACGTAAGTCTCAGATTTTTCACCACTGATCAGAGAGACTATCATATTTAATATTAGTATGAACATAGCCATATGGCTCAATCGAATTAGTGGATTGCAATGACACGGTAAGAAGTTCGAATCTAGCTTGAGGAAAAAAAATAATAAATAGATAGTGGTATTAAACTAGTTGACCGCGGTATTCAATCGCTGCATTGAGATCGAAGATATGTCGCGAACATGGAAAATCAAGGATTACCGCATAGATGCCAGGTAAAATATACCATTATATGATGAATTCATTTTTTCAAAAATCGTTAATAACTGCAGTTTGAGGATACCGCGGTTTCGGGCGGTGTGGAAAAACCTAATAAACGGTCTGACTTTCGCGGTTCTAAATAACCGCTGAGAGTCGCAACTGGTAAACCGCCAATAACCGCGGTTTTGGTTGAAAACTTTTTCCGTGGGTACTGGCTCCATGACACTTGGTAGAGTACGAAAATTTTCAACTGGTTTATCAAATACTCAACGTGCATTTGATGATGATATCGATGATTTTGAAATAGATGAAAATGATTTTGATGGAAGTAAGTAACATTTATCAAAGAGACATCTTTATTGATTGTATTGATCTTATCACAGATTTTCCGGTGATTCATAATGCTCCATTTCATAGTCAACAACGTCCATCATCTGTCCACCAGTCGAATTACAACAAAAATACCAGTAAATCATTTTTTATAAGTTATAAAAATATTTTTTTTCTGTTAAGATACTTATTATACTCCTCAATTAAAACGGAAACGTATTCATGATCAAGTGGCATCTTCTTCTCATGATTCATTCACAGACCTACTGAATGCTTTCCAAAATACATTGAATGAAATGAATCGAAAGATCGACTTGATGAACCAGAGAGAAGTTGTTTTTGAGAAGAAATTCGAAAATGTGGAAAAATCTCTTAGTGGCTTGTCTCGTAAAGTGAACAAGGTAATTTTATTTATTTTTGTTAGCATATGTTTTCTGATTTTTTTGACGAAAGAATCACCAAAATAAACATGTTGGTAATTTTAAAAGAAGATAGATGTGATAAAATACGAATAAATAGATTTGACTTTAAATCAGATGATCAAAGATGTAATAAAAGTGCGACCAGGAATACATAGGTACCGACCTTTGCTTCCTTTTTAATATTTTATAACTATATGACAATGATTATTGATATGTACTGAACATTTGAAAAATATTGATTAAAACTCATACATCCTAATACATTTGTATCCTAAGTTTTTTTCTTTTATTTTAGAATCCAACACTCGGTGAACCGCCTCGTGAACTTCCTGTTATCGTAAGATCTTCTCTATTTATATATTTAGTAAGTTTTGTTCTTTTAGGATCATGGTGGCCGAAATTTATTTTCGGGACCAATAGGTTCAACGCCAGCTCATTTAATGAAACGTCTCATTAATGAATTATTCACAAAAGAAGAAATGATGGCTCGTGAACATGAAAAAACCAATGAACGAACAGAAAAAATCAAAAGTGAGTAATAAATATTACATTGCCATTTTAATTGTATCCGTTTAACTGTTTTAGAAGCTGCCAAGCTGCATTTTTTTCAAAATGATGATATTCAAGTTGCTAGTTTTTGGGATTATGAAGGTAAAGTTATTCGTCAAAATCAACGACGAGGCACGATATTTCGAAACAAATTATTGTGAGTCTCTTTTATCAGTTGAGTTCAGCTACTTTTACTTTTAATTCTATTTTTTAGCGCCGAAGATGATGCATAACAGCTCCACAAACAAAAGGTATTTGATTGTTGTTGTCATTTTTTGAACCTTTTATTTTATTCTTTTTCTACAACTTGTCAGGAGCGTAAATAGGGGGNTTCGGTGAAATATAATGACTGTGAAACGTTTTTTTCCTTGTGAACATTTTATTTTTCCTTGTTCTTGTTTTCTCGTAATGTTTCACATATACATTTTTTTGCCTTATTCTGCCAGTGAAACTTTTTTTGTGAAAATTATGGTGTTAATTTCAACATTATTTTGATCTTTTTTCCGTAATAAATAAAAGTGAAAGCAAGAAGCGACAACTTTGCACCACAAATAGAAACAAGTGGTATATCTATAAACCAATCAGAATAAGCATTCATGATCACAACGAACGACATGACGAACGCGTTCGAAACACACGAACACGTTTTGATCTACTTGTTCGGAACACGATCGTTCGTCCGGTCGGAATGCGTTCTTCCATCGTTCATCTCAACACGGGGAGCCTGGCAAGTTGTATGATAGGTGCCGTCGCCATCAATGTGTTCTTTCGCTTTTTCGGTCTTCGATATCTTTATCAGGGAATCTTTTTTTCACTTGACTATTTCACTTCTAGTTTATCTCATTGATTACTATTCATTATGAAATTCTTAGTTCAATATGACTTTGTATTAAGAAAGTTTTACATTTCTGTCTTTCGATGGGTGGTCTTTTTTTCCTATTGAGGAGCCCTAGAAGGTTTCTTCACTTCTGACTTTAATGTAGAAAAAACGTTAAAATTAGTAATAAATATAGCGTTATTTATTGAGCAAATAAATAAAAAAGAGTATAAATAGAAAAAACCAAAATTAAATGATCAGTCGAAGAAAGATTGCAATAAAGATCTAATGATAATCATAGCACAGAAACAAATGAGAGAAACAAAGTTCTTGCTGGCACCATGAACATCCTATCATTGGACCATCAATGCAATCTTGTACATAGCATATATCTGTTTAACATTTTGAAATGTACCAGAATCATCTTTCAAAAATCTACTTTTGTACCATGCATATTTTATCATAGGTTGAAAAGCTATTGAACACATTTGTGAATGTACCAATGACTGTAGTTTAATAATATTATTAAGTTCTACTAAATTAATTTTTATGTCATCAAGTCTCACATGATCGTATATTCATCGTAGAATCATTTTATATTGTCGATTATAATATATATCAAGTGGTTGAATAAAAGACGTCGTTTTTGGTGGAATTATTCGATATTCAAAATTCTTCAAATCTTTATACACTTCTGATTTAGCGTGACTTGGAAAACTATCGGCCAGTAGTAAAGTTTTTGAAGGAATATTTGTTACTAAACAATGATCACGCCAATACGTCACAACCCATGTAAAAAATTTAGGGCAGAAATCAGATTAAAATCGATTGAAAAATGATTGAAAATCGATTTTAATCTGATTTCTGCCCTAAATTTTTTTACATGGGAAGAGAATATGTTAATTTACCACTTTTAGAGCATGTAAGCACAATATTTTTTGCATTAAACAAGGTTTTTTTTTATTCTATCGCTTATGCGACCGGATGGTTCTTTCAAACAAACATAGAGTGGACCGAACACAGTTCCATTCGATGCAATAGTACTCTGTATGGTATAGGAATGAGTAGTGTTGTTAGTTGATCGCACTGAACACCACGTAGATTGTTCTCCCATATGAGTCAATGTTCGAATACCAACATGTTCCAAATTAATGCTCACTTGGTCAGTGTTGAGCACCTCACTAGAGTTGTAGTTTTCGATTAATTTATTTGTTCCAAAACAAAAGTATCAGCTGATTGATTGATTTCGTCTCTACTTTCGATGTGCTTTCATGTAACGAATTGTGTCATCTTTCGACTAGAAATTCGGTATCGATTTTTAAAACTTAATAACTATGTATGAGATCTTTCAAAATTATGCGAATTTTATTCACGAGCCTTCTTCATGCTCCAACGTCGTAAATCAATATCATGAATAGGTAGTAATTGATGTCGTGCATTTTCAAATGGGTCATCAAACAAAAATATCGACATCATCGACTTTTTGTTTTTTTGTACCACCAGTCTCTACATATTTCCGACAACGCGAAATGCAGTGTGAATTTGGAATACGTCGAAAAATATGTTTTACAGTACACCAATTTCTTTTACGCTATCCAGTGAGTGGACCTTTCTCATCAAAATATTCTACAGCATGTTTCATATAATCGAGCAAAAAACTCTTTTCCAAATTATGTTCATCAATGGGTAAATAAGCAATATCAGTTAATTCATTAGGCTGTTCCAATGCTGCTGCTTCTGGTCCAGTATCTTCGAGATCCACATCATACAAATCATCATCATGATAGAGTGTTATTTTGTTTTCAAAAATGTAAGAATTACTTTGGAGAATGGAATTCAAATATTTATAAAAATTTCTAGCAATACTTTGTTCTTCAGCATTGATTAATGATGGCCGATCGAACGGAAATTTATTTAAAATCAAATCTGAGAAGCCTTTTGATAAATTGCTGATGGTGCGACGCGTGGTCAAAATAGAACGTACTTATTCTCTTTATGGAATTCTTGCATATGGTGACTACTTTATTCTGCGACAGAAAAAGTTCACGATCCCAATTGGGAAATACAGAATTAAATTGTTTACGATAAAATAATTGTGCTATAGTATACACAAAAATATTTTCTTTTTGTTTTTCAAAAATGCGTACACGTGATGAGTAGTGAAATAATAATCGGCACAAAACTTCACTTTGCAACCCATCGAATCCAAAGTCATATTGAACTAAGAATTTCATAATGAATAGTAATCAATGAGATAAACTAGAAGAGAAATAGTCAAGTGAAAAAAAGATTCCCTGATAAAGATATCGAAGACCGAAAAAGCGAAAGAATACATTGATGGCGTCGCCACCTATCATACAACTTGCTAGGCTCGTAATTTTGAAACTAAGCAACAATGGCACGAATTCTTTCAGTTCTTTTATGTACATGACTAGTCCTAGCTACCAGCAAAACCTCAGCTCGAAAGGTTGGTATCACTTGGAAGTGTTCCCTCGTCAGTGAAATTAAGATTGATTGCTAAAATAATGACAACGTGCGAGACACAACAGACTAAGAATAATTCTCATATAGCTAAGTGGCTTAAAAGTGTCGATAACGCGATAGTGGTTCGAATTCAGTGCGATATATATTTTTTCCTGTTCTGTACATTGTTTTACCATTGAATTTTGTCAAACCGTTTTTCGTTTTGGATCAGAGATACCCTCTCGAGATCTCAATGGGGACGAGGGTAGCTGACCACGCTGAATCCGAATATGTTATTTTTATTCACCGGCACCATACCCTTCAAAACCACCCCGGGGATTATATGGTAACGAGCGGATTTAAATCGGAAAGAACGCTCTTTGAAGCAACTCATTACAGCTCGTTCACGAAAAATCCGTTCATGTAACTGAAAAGCGATCATGTTAGAAAGGAGTCAAAACGATTAAAAAAAGAACGCATTCATACAACTTCAGAAGTCATTCCTATCATTCTGTGTGCACGCGTTCAAAATCGTTTAGAACTGCCCAAGTGGGCAAAATACTGGTTAAATGACTAGTCCTTTTTCTAGTCAAGTTGACTCGTCCCGTCTAGTCTTTGTCTCAAAAACTACTTGCCCACGACTAGTCCGAGTTTTTATCCGTCATGCATACGCGTCCTAGTACTCTGATTGACGACTAGTCATAAAATCTAATAAGAGTAGTCGTGACGAGTGTCCCTGTCGCCCGTCCGAAAATGGTCTATGAATGAAAACTTAAGGGCGTCTGGGACGAGTATACAACTAGCTGTAGCCTTATATAGTGGACGAGTCTGGACTAGTCTGAATGAAAATATGTAAGGATGAAGATAAGATTAGAACATGTATACAGTGTGACACGTACCCGTCGCCAGAACCATTGAGTCATATGATCGTGAAGTCATATTCTACACGCTCATGATCATTCTAAGATGTTATTTAATACAATTTTTACTCCGAATTTTTAATTTGATGTATCAATAAAATTGTCTTTTACCGAAACGCAATTACTTTAGATAACATTAAATAAAAATAGTTTAAGAAGATTTTATATTTTTTTCGACAAATATATTTTGATTTATAAGCAAGTGCGATTAATTAGTTGCGTTCTAAAAACATTAATTTGAGTATAAAATTAAAAAATATTTGTATGCAATGGAAACTAATTTTTTTCATATTCTTTTTTAGTTTAGTTTTAAATTTAAATCACCGTATATTCATCTAATAATTAAATTATCTTTGATTTATTTTAAATTATTACAATTGATATTTTAAATTAACTAAATAATAGTATTATATGAAAAAGATTTAGATGCTTCTCAATTTTTTCAAATTTAGGACATCTCACATTTTGAAAAAAAATATAAATTAGCACTCCTAGATGCGAGATGAATTTTGTTGCTAGTACTAACCCCTACTATTTTATGTTTTGATACACTCTTAAACTTTTAGCATTAGCTAATGCAAAATAAAATAAATATATCAAGACAGAGATGCACGCAATATATTAAATCTTTTCGAATGCACTATTGATTACAGCAGACTCTCTAATTGTCCTTTTAGCTAGAAAAAAATTCGATAAGCATTGAGTAAAATAAACACTTCTTAACAACGGACTAGTCATGAGGTGTCCAAAAGATGCTTCATACTAGTCAATACCGTTTACGTCGGCTTGTTTCTCATTTTCTATGCATGGATGGGAGTCAATATATAAGTTTAGACTATATATATATATACTTACGGCAGTCTATCTCAGTATCCTAGACTGCCGTCAGGATGTCCGTCATATCTTGAACACTGTCGGGTTGGATGTTCAAATCCACCGTGTAACCTCTGTTTTAATCTTCTTAATAGTCTGGACTAGGTCAACAGACAACACGAACTAGACATGACTGGGCTCAAGGACATGTCAGACTAGTACAGACGTGTTTGCAAGACACTCCTCATTAAGCTGACTAGACAAGACGGGTATGCAAGACGTTTCAGACTAGACTTGACAGCAGCTGCGGACATTTCTGACTAGTCATGTCGGTAGTCTCCCTTCATTTTTTGCTTACTTGGGTGATTACTGAATATTTATCGAAATTCCTGCATTAAAAGTCGACGTCAATGGAGATAATTTCATATTTTGATACAAAAATATGTGTTCTCAGATTGAGCAAAATTCTCCCACAAATTATTAAAAGCTTATTTTCTTAAGGAAAATTATAAATTTTCCTGCACGAACAACAGGAATTTCAATTTCCCGTAAAGGAAAATCGAAAATGTTATTCAGTTCTAACTTTCTTGAAGCAAATATTTGGGACAGTTTATTGTCCTTTTTATTCAGGATTCATGAAATAAAAATTTTCAATGAAGAAAACTTAGATAGCAAATGGCTACTACAGAGTATATAGTAGAAAAAAAAATAGAGCATCTTAAGAAAAATAACAAGAGGTCTCTTTTACAAATGCAGGAATTAATAGGATGGATCATTATTCTGTTAATTAAGTAAGGATTTTTAAACGTAATTATAGTGTACTAGAAACTATTTAATGCGCGGATTTGTGTTGGCTAAATCATGTTGATGAACATGTTGAAGTTTCAAATTGTTAGATTAGAGAGTGTCGTTATGAAAATTTTTTTCGAAAATCCTTTTTTATACACTGTTAGGGATGTGCAGTGCCGGTTTACTGACCACCGACTTTCGCCGACGGTGTTTTCAGTGGAGCACCGACTACACCGACACTGTCCAGTGGAGCGCCGACTTGCACCGACGGTGTTTTCAGTGGAGCACCGATTACACTGTTATCGGTGTGACTGACACCAAACACACTGAGAACACTGAATAATTCAATCAGTATTCAGGAACATTGATTGAACTATTCAGTCTTCTCAGCGCAGTCGGTGTCAGTGACACCGGTGACAGTGTAGTCGGTGCTCCACTGGACAGTGTCGGTGTAGTCAGTGCTCCACTGAGAATACCGTTGGTGTACTCAGTGGTCAGTTTTTCAGTATTCACACCGACACTGCACATCCCTATACACTGTCTAATCTCATTTTTTTTCTTAGCTTTATGAGAATGTATAAAATAGAAATTGCAAAAATTTCGACAGTTTGAAATACTAAAAATATGCTTTGGAAAAAAAAACTAGTGTCTGTCTAAAATTTAGTAATCAGATTTTGATTTGCCATAATTTATTATTTGCTTTTTACTCATTGTACACATGAGGGATATCAAATTCTAGCTAGTTTATATCAAATAAAAAAATTTTCATTAAAATTTATCTTAAAAACAGCTTTTTCAAATTTTACGTTTACTTAAAACGAGTTTGAAAATGTGTAAATTCAATTAAAATTCATTGAAAATTGTATACAATTTTCATAAAAACTACTGTAAATGGATAGACATCGCACAATCATGCATTTTAGTACATTAAATGGATTTAAATTCAATTTTTATTAAACTGAAGTTAGAACAAAATAGTTCCATAAAATTTTTCAAGGTTTTTATTTCAAAATAATTAAAATCCTAAAAGTTGCGCTTTCTTAAAATTTATTTTTCGGTGCATTTAATTTTGTAAATTTAAGTTGATCAACCTTAGTACAAATTTTTCTAGCTGTAAGAATACATAGAAGTTTCTTACAATAACAGTAGAAAATTTAATAGTTCAGATAAACGTAAGTCTGGCCTAATGGAATATTCACTGCTTCGTAACTTCAAGTTCATCTGGTCGATTCTATTCCACCGCAATTTAAAAACGAGTTTGAACGCGTTTAGTGAGAACGAAAATACACTGTTGGAGGAACCGATTTCCTGAAAACATATGTGAATATTGAAGAAACGCGTTCAAAACCCTCGTAGACTTGAGAATAAACTCTTTTTTTTATCAAAAGGAGAGCATGTTCCTGTAAAACGCGTTTTTTCATTCAAGAGCTGCTTTTCTAATGCAGCGCTCTGAGCATATCAAAACGCGTTCTTTTTCACGAAAATAAAGCGTTTTTTATTCCGACAATGTATTATTGTCCATTCTTTTTTCATCTGTATTTCTGTGGAATACGCACACTAAGATAAAGTGAGTCTCACTTAAAGGATGTCCCATAATAACTGATGATAAATTGCTTTTGATATTTTTTATACCTTTTGTTGACCTAGAGAGCGGAAATTTGTATCACATGTACATCTAATCATGATCTTCCATTTCTGAAATTTTCATCTCCAGCTAAAACTAGCCGTGAAATTCAGTGACGCGACTGAAAGACCTCAATTTTCGTAAAAATCTCTTTTATCATCTTTATATATAGTACAGTGAAACCTCTATTAATGAACACCTCTCTATAATGAACATCTCCCATTTGAACAGATGTTTCGGAACCCCCGATCGATTTTTGCTATAAACGTACCTCTGCAAGATGAACATCTCCCAACTATGAACATTGAACACTTTTTTTCGGTCGTTTCTGTAGAAAAACACCTCTCTATAGTGAACATACGCTGACCAATTACGCTTTCGTGTATGAAATATGTAGATGAAAAAATAGATTGCACATAATAAAACAATGATAAATTAAATTTGGACGGCCAATTCGTCATAACAAACTTTGTCGTATGTATGACACAAATAGAACAATGAAAATGAATAGTCCGCGATGAGTGAACCGATTCTGTGTGAGAGAATAGCCACAATTACATTCACTGATTTCTCAATTAGATTCACAACTTACTCAGCTTTCCATCGACTCAAAAGGAGTCAAGCAAGCAATCATTAAAGACTTTTCATAAAAAATGATTAGATGTAAATAAATAGATGACAATTTTGTTCATTTTTTTGTTGAAAACTGAATAGATGTTTAATAGTTCAAATCAATAAAATAGTCGTTTCCTTTGTTACAAGATAAATAAAGAAGTATATACAGTAGATAAAACCGATTTTTTAAAATTTGACATTGGCAGTAATAGATATTAGTATAAAAGGTGTATATTTATCATTCGTATATACTGACCATGTACTATATACAATGTACGCACTTCATTCAACATGACACCTCTCTAAGATGAACACCTCCTTTAATGAACACGTTTTGAACAGTCCCGTCAGTGTTCATCTTAGAGAGGTTTCACTGTATATGAAAACAACTTTACAAGACAACTTTGTGGAACTCACATATATTTTCGAAGAAAATGGTGAGTGTAAGTTTNCCCCCACCTTACATTATAGATATCAGCAAGCACGCAAAAATTAAATAAGACATTTTTTTTCCTCCCGATCGATTTTCTTGCAGCAGATTTCGCACCACGCATTATGCATAAGGAAATTAGGCGAGAAATCATATGTGAGTTTCACATTTTAGCCCCAAAGGGGCTGCGCTAACCCGCTTTTCTCATAAACTTAAGTTCTAATAAAATTCAATAATTATGAACATCTTCTCCATTGTTTTCTATAACTAATTGTAATCGATAGGGTATTCCCTGTATCATTTTTTCACATTTTTCCTTCAAATATGTTTTCCATTCTTTTTCGATTTCTTCTTTTAATTCAACCGATGTGTCAAATAATTTCCCACAAACGTTTCCTTTAACTACTCCCGATACATTTTCGATTTGCCATACATCAGCAAATTTAGCATCACCATCTGGTGGTTCTATACGTTCACTAAAAAGTTGATCCACTGCATTTCTTACTAATTTTGTTTGTTGTTTTCGATCCTGGTCGTCTTGAAAAATTGTATTTCGTTTAGCGTTTCGAAACCTTGCTTTAATTAGCAGAGTAGCCATTTCTTTAAAAACTCTGACATTTAATTGGTTGATTAAATAAATTCTCTTTTGCTTGTCGCTGCTTAAAGTAAGTTGTGGTTCTAACCATTAAGTAAGATTAATTGGTGCTCGTGAGGGAATAAGAGCTTGTGCTGATATTGCACCCCAAAATATTATACCTTGTCTGTTTGTGCATGACTTAAATCAGGTTCAATTTCTTCACATTCCTTGGTTCACACAGCATCGTTTTGTTTTATTTTGAAAACTTTGAACGGTAAAAAACACCTGACAAATCATAATTTACAACACGATTCCATTTCCATTTGTTACAGTTTTTCTTAGCTTCAAATTTTTTTCTTAATGTTTTTGCGCATTCAACACGTTTTATTCTGTTAATATTCGTTAGTTTTTATGCTGTTTTCTTTTTATATCATTTTAATATGAATTTCTTAGTTATTCGGTGGATTGCACTTTTAGATGATGCAAATCGTTCTCTTTTGAGTATAAGATCAGTTTTCCTAATAGACGCACCTTTTTTTCAATCTAATGTAATTATAAATATTTTCTTCAGATTCTTCTGTTGTAACTGTTACAGGATGATCGGATCTTTCATTGGTGTTTATAATTCCTCTTTTTTGATACTCGTGACACACATTTGTGAAGTGGTATGTATTTTAATGATGGTGAACTATCACAACTTTGAATGAAGCGAGTCATACGACCAACACGCTATGTCTTGTTCAGCAGTTTTAAATTTAATAAGTACAACACAGAGACGGACAAGACAAGTCATTTTTGACTTGACTTGACTGGAGCCAAAAAGATCCCTGGCTAGCCATCTCTGGCCCAAAACTTTTAAAATCTTTTCTTTTTCTCGTAATTGATGAACATTCAAGATAAAATTTATTATTAAACGTATCCGATTTTACCCTTAAAGAATGTTCTATATAACTTATTTAAACATTAATCTTAGTCATTTTTGAGCATATAATATCCCTCACCGATATTTTTGTTTCCTTCTTGATCAGAAAATTGCGATAAGAAATGTATTAAGTAAATGAAAAAATCTTAACGTTTACATTCGCAAAAAAATTGTGAACAGTGTTCGTTAGTAATAAATAAAAACAAAATAAGGGAATATGGTAAGTAAATATTGATTGCGCGGTTAAATTTAAGTAGAAAGTCTTTTAAAAGTTGAAGCAGCTCCACCGAGTAAAACAAAAAAAAAGTAAAAAGAAACCATAGTCTTCTCATTAACCCATCATACTGGTCGAGAATGGCATTTCCGTAGTTGTGCCACGACCTGCTGCACAAAATAAAAATCAGCATAATAAGAAATAATGCTACGTCTCAATATTACGCAATTTTTCATACCTGTCCCACCGATTGTTACGCTTCCACTTGCACTAATGGTTAGCGTAAAAGTTCCACCACTAATAAGGGTACCCAACGCTTGTAACGGACCAATAGCAAAACCAGTCAATGGATCGAATATTTCAATACTTACTGATATACTGCTAGAAAACTCACCACCATCAGCAATATCGAACTCGCTGCCTGGAGGGAGCATGATGTAACCACCGCTGCCAACAAATGACATACTACCCAATATAGAAAGTTTAATAGGAAATTTAAATTTAAAACCAGTACTCGCACCAGGTGTCCCTAATTGAAATATCGCTCCAATTGCAACAGTTATGGAAGTAATTTTAAGATTTAATACGCCATTGAGATCTGTTGTGGATAACGTAACGCCTCCGATAACCTGTACACCACAGCCACCAGAGCAAATGTCTGCGGAAGGTGCAAAACCACCAAGAAATGTTCTTGCTGCTTTAAAACCACCACTGTTTATAGCAATAGCTGTCACCGAATTGTAAGTTTCAATACTGCCATCTGCAAGCATTCCACAAGTAAACGGACCAGATGCCGAGCTTACTGTGAAAGTGGCTCCCGCAACTTCTCCATGAAATATTTGAAGCATGGATCCTGTAGCACTGAATCCGCCACCAGTGAGCATTACAATGATAGAATTTGTAGGAAACCGAATAACTTTGTTCTTTGTTTGATCTAGAAGTATTCCACCACTTTGAACAATGATCGTTGGGGGGAAAGTAAATGTGAAAGTGTCACTACCGGAGCCCAAGGCTAATGTACCAGATACACCGCAACGCACCATTTCGAGACTTAATGTGGCCCCTGAAATAGTAATTGTAATACCAGCTGGGATGGAGATAGAGAACGTGCCAGATGGAGCAACTCCGCCACCCCATACAGTTGCATCAGTGAGATCCCCTGATCCTATCGCCAGAAAAGTAATCGAGCCCAATCCACCAGCTACAGAAGGTAAAAGGAATACAATAGAAAATATTATTGAATATCAACATTCGGAAGAATTTCATACCTGTGCCACCCGTTGCTACGCTTCCACTTGCACTAACAGTCAGCTTAAACGTTCCACCACTGATAAGTGTACCCAAGGTTTGTAACGGACCAATAGCAAGACCAGTCAATGGATCGAATATTTCAATACTTACTGATATACTGCTAGAAAACTCACCACCATCAGAGATATCGAACTCGCTGCCCGGAGGAAGCATGATATAACCGCCGCTGCAAACAAATGACATACCACCAAATATAGAAAGTGTAATGGGAAATTTAAATTTAAAACCAGTACTTGCACCAGGTGTTCCTAATTGAAACGTCGCTCCAATTGCAACAGCTATGGAAGTGATTTTAAAATTTAAAACGCCATTGAGGCCTGCTGTGGATAATGTAACGCCTTTGATAACCTGTATACCACAACCACCGGAACAGATGTCTGCTGATGGTGCAAAACCACCAAGAAAAGTTCCTGCTGCTGTAAAATCACCACTCATTACAGCAATAGCTGTCACCGAATTGTAAGTTTGAACACTGCCATCTGCAAGCATTCCACAAGTAAATGGACCGGATGCCAGAGTTACTGTGAAACTGGCTCCAACAACTCCTCCTTGGAATATTTGAAGCACGGTTCCTGTAGCACCGAATCCTCCACCACTAAGTATTGCAATGATAGAATTAAAGGGAAACCGAATAACTTTGTTAGTTGTTTGATCTAAAAGTATTCCACCACTTCGCACAATGATGGTTGGGGGGAAGGTAAATGTGAAAGTGTCGCTACCGGAGCCCAAGGCCAATGTACCAGATACATCGCAACGCACCATTTTAAGACTTAATGTGGCCCCTGAAATAGTAATTGTAATACCAGCTGGGATCGAGATAGAGAACGTGCCAGATGGAGCAACTCCGCCACTCCATACAGCTGCATCAGTCAGATCTCCGGATATAATCGCAATAAATTTCGTCGAGTTCGATGCATCGCTACCGCCACTGCCACTACCACCGGTACTGCTAGTACCAGGTGTGCTGCTGATACCACCGCTACTGCCACTACCACTGGTACTGCCACTCCCACTGCTGCTGCCACCACCGCTGCCAGCAGATGCTGCGGGTGCTAAAATGAATATAATATAATAAAGGATGCGGTCTCAATTTTCGGAAATTTTTCATACCGGTGCCAGTCAGTTCGAAACTTCCAGTTCCACTCACAGTCAGTGTAAAACTTCCGCCGGTGATAGATGTACCTAAACTTTGTGGAGAACCAATATTTAGACCAGTAAGCGGATTGAATATTTGGATATTGACTGATATCGTACTGTAGAACGCACCACCAGCGGCGATGTCGAACTTACTGTTCAGTGGAAGCATTATATTACCGCCGCTGGCAACGAACGACATTTGTCCTGATATCGCAAGGGTAATAGCCGATGAAAATTTGAATCCGCTGCTTGAACCGGGTGTGCCCAATTGAAGCGTGGCTCCAGGAGATACATGTATTAAATTGATCGGCAGAGTCATTACACCATTAAGATCAGCTGTTGATAACGTAACACCTGCTGTAACTTCTATAGCACAACCAGCGGAACAAACATCTGATGAGGGCGCAACACCACCAAGAAATGTTTCTCCTGATGTAAAACCACCACTTTTTATAGCAATAAAGGTTACTGAATTAAAACCTCCGACACTACCATCTGGAAGCATGCCACAAGTAAAAGGACCAGACGCCGAAGATAATGTAACACTTGCACCAGGGCCACTTGACGTGTATGTTTGGAAAATGGTTCCAGGAGCACCAAATCTTCCGCCACTCAGTATTGTCAGGATAGAATTGGGAGGGAAAAGAAATTTTTTATTGCTTGATTGATCTTCAATCATTCCACCACTTCGAACGATTATGTTTGATGGGAAATTAAATGTAAATGTGGAACTTCCGGAACCCAAAGCTAAGGTACCATATACGTCGCATCGTCGCATTCGAATTTCCATTGCAGGGCGTGGAAGAGATACTGTAATACCAGCTGTTATAGCAACAGAACAATTACCATATGGAACGATTCCATCGGCCCATATTGTTGGATCATTAAATGCACCGGAGTTAATGGCAACAAATTGAAATGTTTTTGATTCACCAGCAAAACCAACGGGTCCTATAAAGAGATTGAAACAAGAAAAAGAAAATGAAATACTTTAAGATAACTTTTCGTATATTTACTTGTCGCTATTATTCCGACTAATGAAAGACTGAAACTCAACTGTAATGCTACGCCACCTGACACTATAGTGCATGGAAAACTAGGAATGCTAGTCATTGAAGATAATCGTGTGTGAAGTCGAGTTCTGTGAGCCAGATGACATTTTGATGAAGCGCATGCTGCTGAATAAGCCATTTTAATTATGAAAAGAAAATTCGTTTCTAAAGTTCGTTTTTGACGACGAGAACTTCTAAAATTAAAAGTGAAATAAAAGTTTAAAAAAGAAAATGAAGAATGGATATCGCTACAAGCCGCGTCTTCGTCGTTTAATTCCTGCTTGAGCTGAGCCAGAAGTAACTACTCCAGAAGTACCCAAACTTAAAGCGTTAGAAACCTAAAAGAACAAAGAATCGTTAAAATTAGATTTCGACCTATTATCAGCTCAACTTGGGCAAGATTTGTCACATTACCAGTTACACTTGAAGCATATGGAACATCAGCCGAATATTGAAGAAAAAAATTGTCGTTAGCTAAGCGAAAAAATGAAAATATTTTTGCATTCTAAAATCGATGTATTATACGAGATATCAAGTTAGCAGCTACTGCAGTTTTCTGTGGTAAATAAATGGGAATTAATGCAAGTACAATTAATCCGGCGATTGCAAGTGCAACTATACCCAAACAACATAGTGCTACCAATGGCCATACAGTTCTGAATACGAAAAACAGTGAAGATCATACGAAAATATGTAAACTAAATGCTGTACTTTGTTGCTGTGCCAAGTGGTGCAGACGTTGTATCTCTCCTTGTCTGCATGGATTGTATAAAGTTAGTTTTAAAATTAGACTAATGCCTTTAGTATGTTTAGGCTTATATATTTTCAAAATTTTCATACAAGAAACGATCACCACTTTTTTGTGTTCAGTCAGTCATCCGTAAAAAATAACGAATAACATATTTTGATTTCGAATAGGCATGACTATTCGTATTTTCTCCCTCATCTTGTGCTTGTTGATTATACTTACCTTAGCCTGTCGTAAAAAAATAGTAGTATTATCTGTATCATACCACTCATCAAAACAACATTGAAACAACAAATAATTATAAATAGTATCAGCAATAGTTACTCAAATGATGCCCTAAGTGAAAAACATTTGGACGTATAATCAGATTAAAATCGATTAAATGTGTATCATTAATCAATACTCAAATAAAATAAAACGTTTTGAAAAGAAATACCTTATTTAACTGTCACCAATTGTTTTGAAAATAATATGTACCATACTACTAACTGAAAGAAATCAAAACATCAATTTTTTCCCTAGTAATCGCACATGATTGTTCGCTTTATCTTGTTGAAAAATATTTAGAGTGCTTTTTATTAAATTATTTATTAAGATGATTTATATTTTTGATTCAATGACATATGCTTCTAGCTATAAAACAGGAGAAAACATAAAAAAATTTAACTATTGTCAAATAATTGTAAATCATTATTGTAGGTTTTGTCATATGTATGAATGCATCTGTCTGTCATGAATGGCTTTTATTCTTTTGTAGAAATGATCAATCGATTGAAGCCAAAACGATATTCAAACAAATAAGCAAACACAATTAGCTACTTCAGTAAACAAGTCAATAGCTTCATTGTAATATTAATCACTTTATCTTTTTTCTTTTGTTTTTTAAAATTTCGCTGTATTTATTCGTGACATCCTATCTTTTTTGTGATTTCAGTACAATTTTTTCGGACGCTTACGAGAGAGAAAGATAACGATAGCATATAGAGAACAGAATACAGACAACAGAAAACAAACAAACGTGAGAGGTAGTGATGATGAATGCACGTGTATTGAATTGTTTTTTCTTTCTTGACTATTCTTCCATTATCGAATATCTTTGAAGCTTAAACATCATACCAGGGAAGGAATCAAACCTTCTTCTATCTGACTAAATCATATGCATAGAACCACTATACCATCTCTGGCATCCCACTTATCTTTTATATGTTCGCACATGCATAAAAACACTAGTATAGCAAGAAAACAGAATAAATTTCAAAATCATAATCATACGTAGAAGAATACCTTTTCCATTGAATAAAAGAATGGTGTGGGTGGATGTGATTGTTATTTTCTTTTAATCCACATTCACACAACCGACACTCACATCCACACCCACACCCGATTCACTCGAATCTATCGATCGAATATCAGATGAAGCTAACAACTTTCATCCAAATATTAAACTAGTGCGACAAATTGGTAGAAGTGTTCCATTTTTTTATTTATTCATCGTGAACAGTAACGGATCTTTAACAACTTTGTTGTATCCCAACGGAGCAGTTGAACCGTATGCCATGCCATTTGGATCAGATCATCCTGGTCATGTTTTTCGAAACACTGTTGATACTGCTACAAATGAGACTCATATTTCTCTATAATGGGTAATTTTCCGGTACACATTCACGTTTCTCATCTTTTGTATGTGATTTATAGGTACCCGCCAAGACATCGGCTGGCGACTCACTACATTATTCAGTAAATCTTTTTCCAGGTATTTTATTTTGCCTATGCTCCACAACTCTAATGACTTTGGTTATTGACGTCACCAGTTATTGACGACAACAACAAAAACAACAACAACAACAGCAATAGCATACGAGAAAATAACTAAAATCTTAACTACCAATCAAACATCGAAGACATGAAAAACAACTAAGAAATAATCATCGGCATATTCATGAATTGTGGAAGCATACTTTTCATGAAACAGAAGTCATCGACACTGCTCTAATCGTTGGAATTTATTTGAATCCCAATTTAAAACATGAATTGATAGCACCAATAAGAAAGCTTACTCCACGTGGAACAAGCAGTCAACAGATCAATCTACAACATGACTGAAACATAGCAACAGCTAATTATGAAGTAAAAAAAATTGTCTATAACTTGGTCCATCTATAATTTCATCTTCTTACGTATCAATAAATATTCACCTGAATATTACTCTAAACCTTCCCTATGAAATAGTAGATTAAACCAAAATACAACCGAAATAACACGCGCAAATTACCATCATCACATCCACGAATTCAATAAGTATTCAGTACCACATGCTAATTTCAATCTATGCAGTCCGATACTTTAGAGCACAATATTCACATCCAACGAATTTCAATATCAAACATACGAGGAATTAAGCTATTGTCTGCTGTACAAAAAAATATTAAAGAGAATTAATAAATAGTTTCGAACGAAATATTAAAAAACACTTCATGATTGGCCAACTGATGATTAGTAACATATATTGAGATATACCATGGACAAATCCAATCAAATATATTTGTTATTTGTGAAATAATTCGATTTAGTTCACACATTCGAATGAATTATGATTAGGAAAACTTTCAAATTAATTAAAGTGCCTAACTTTTCTTGAATACATACTCAAGAGAATAATTGCTACTAGAAGTGCTGCTAGAAGGATACAGCATAACACAGTCAGAATATTACAGCAGCAGCAGCAAACTGTTATATATGCACCGCGTCTTCTAAATTATACTCGATATAAATTGCAATAAGAGCATATTTTATTTAGAAAAATACTCGCCTTGTCTTCCTTTGATTCTCTTCGTCATTCACTCCAGTTATCCAATAAAGAGTGCACCGAGGATACTGTTTATCTTGCACAATAACTTCTTCGTTCATGGATGCAATTTCAGTTTTGCCTGTGGTTGATATCGAGAAATCATGCCTTGGTATAAAGTATACATCTGCGGACTAAAATGTGCGTGAAACATCTAACCTATGAAGTCTACGCTGTAGAAAAAAAGGAGAATACTTAAATCTAGTACTTAAAGAAAATTTTCCTAAACTCATAAAAGATGTAGATTTTTAAGTGCCGCTAAATATATGATGTTTGATTTAATAGCTTCTCTTTTTTAATAATGATATTTCGACAAATTCATACAACGAATGTCATCTTCAGATTATCATCGATATTTGTACAAAAAATTATTATTTTTCTTTTTCTTTTGTTTAAATTATATAATGTTGTTAATGATGTTGATTTTTCTTCAAAATTTGTTGTTCGTTCTTTTTTTTATCATTCTTAATACTTCATTATCACGACCTGATGTTTCTAAACCTAAACCTAAACCTAAACCATAAGTATCTTGTCAGTTGTTATTTAACCATAACGTTGATATTGATTATTTTTGACCCACGATCTGTTGTTGAATTTGATACATTGAAATTATTTGAAGAACTGATGTTATTTGTTTCACATATTCATAATCGATTTGTATGTTTTGGTTTCTGAAGAAAAAATGATGATATTCAATTGATGTTAACTTATGGTGATTTGCGCGAATGGAGAGAAATAATAGATTTAATGAAATTGGTTGCTTGAGGCGAGCTAGTGGTTGATCGTTTTTAATATTACAAAACTATGAGTATACGTATATGATACGTTTAATTGATGTTGAGGTTAGGTGTTGAGAAGAGATAATAATGTTCGCTAGATTGTAAAATGTGTTGTTGGTCGGTTTTAGTTGTTCGATTGTAGTTGAAGAGTAGTGTGTTACCTAGAAAATAAAAATCATATGATTGAAAATGTTTAGAAGGAATTGTATTATCGATTTTGGGAATAGATATACGAGTTGTTCGTATTGTTATGATGAACACTTCTTGCGTAGCGTTGCAGATGGTGTTTCTGTTGTTGGTCGCATTGCTGTCGGTTAGATTCGAACGTTTAAAGTGATGTTTCGACGTTATCCATTTTATTGTCGCTTCAGTACGGATTGATAACTGAGAAAGTATTTGTGCTTATGATGTCCTATGGAGTAAGATTTTTTGTTTGACATTTATGTGTCTTTGTCAATTATAGCATTATTTTTGTCGCACAGAAAACTACTGAAAAAGTAAGTTTTGGGATAAGTTAAAGCTAGAGAGGTTAATTTCTTTCGTTTTCGTTTCCGCTTTCAGTATGGCATTATCGAATATAAATATCGGTGGATACTTAAATTATCATTTTAGTCATAATATTTTTTAATGATTTATGATAATACGAAAAGAGCTCATGAACGTTTTCAGTCGTTATTAATGGATCTACATTTTCTCAAATACTGTCGATCTCAGGATGTTATTCCGAAATTTCTTTGGTTCAAAACGGCGAACAAGGTGCTTTCACTTTCGTCAGCTTATAAGGAATGTCAAAGACGTTTACTGAACGCTGAAATCAATTCAAAATATAAATACCTCAATATCCTGAAAAAAAATTACTATTTGTTTTTGGATGAACTGAAAAATAGTGTACCTGATACTATATTTCAACATGTTTTGGAGTATATTATTGATCGTTCACGTGCAGTATTATATAAAAGGGAGAACAAATTAAGAGAGAAGATGAGTAGACATGAACAACTTAATAGAAAATTTGATCCCGTCGATGGTAACGTCGTTAAGAACCTCTCTTCCCGTATATTATCAAATAAAGAAGTTGAATGTCTCGCGCATGGCTTAAACTACGGTCTTATTCCTAGAAAGGTTGATGATATTAACATTATTAGTAATATTGAAAATTTTTTCCATCGAGTTACTGATATTTCTCAACATCATAAGAAGCTGTTTTCTGAACTTAAGGAAAAAAATACAATTGTTGATTCTGATGTTCGTGTTATTACTTCAAAAGAATTGACATTGGCAAATAGTCTACGTTCAATTACTGATTCATTTCGTTCTCATGCTTATCATTTCGGACAAATACAAAATAGGATCAATGCTGAACAACAAAAATATCGTAATATATTAGGAAAATTAAAACAAGACAAGTCGATTATTGTTATTCGTCCCGATAAAGGCAGAGGAATTGTTTTATTAAATAAAGGCGAGTATTTATCAAAGATCCATGTTATACTTAATGATTCTAGTAAATTTAAATGTCTGTCAGATGATCTTACAATTACCCGTGAAACTAAATTAACAAAGTTGTTGAATAGGTTACATGATGAAGGACACATTTCCGATCAATTTTGGGTAATGGCAAAGCCTACTGGTTCTATTCCTGGACGTCTTTACGGATTACCAAAAACACATAAAAAGGATGTTCCACTTAGACCAGTGCTCTCAGCAATCGGGACGTTCAACTATGGACTTTCTAAAGCTCTGTTACAAATATTGTCAAACATCATAAAAAAAAGAATATGATCCGTGATTCATTGTCGTTCGTTAAAGAATTACTGGCATTACCTAAGCCTATGTCTCAATATAAGATGGTATCTTTTGATATTGCTAGTCTATATATAGGGGTGTCAATTGACAGTTTATTTAATTTAAATTTAACTTCGTGAAAAGTTAATTTAATTTTAAATTAAATTCTATCAAGTTAAATTTAAAATAAATTTGAATTTTTCTGATACAAAAATTTAAATTTGAATAAAATTTAAATTTTCAGAATTTAAATTTAATTTAAATTAAATTTTTGAAAATTTATTTCTTGATTTAATAATTTTTTTAAATTTAAATTTTAAATTTAATAAATTATTTGGATGGATACACATGATTGCTACGAGAGAAATACGTGACTTTAACAGTAGTAAATACTAAATGAGAGGAAAACCTAGTATTTTAGGTTAATATTTATTCATAATAGTCAAAATTTCTCTACAGATTATGCAGGGTCCGTCATCTTTCTTCTTCAGAAGACTGGGATACTCATAAAAATATATTTAATAGCACAATTCATAGAAGAATGGCTAGTTTTAACTTTAGAAAACAGGAAACACACTCAAATTTGACTTTAAATAGTAGCAATCAAGTCAAAAACTATTTTTATCTATTAGTTTTCAAAATTCAACTAATTTGAATTTCAAACAATTTAATTTAAATTTAGTTAAATTTAAATGATGCAAAATTTAAAATCTAATTAAATTAAAATTTTTTCAGTTAAAATTTATTTTAAATTTAACTTTTCATTTAAAAAAAATTTAATTTATTTTAAATTTAAATTTTTGAAAATTTATTTCCCGATTTAATAAATTTTTTTAAATTTAAATGTGACACCCCTATCTATATACTAATGTACCACTCGATGAGACAATAGGCATAATTCTTAAACAGTTATGTGATGGCAATATTAAACCTCCTTCAATGAATCGATCAGATATAAAAGATTTACTCGATTCAGCAACAAGTCAATCTCATTTTCTTTTTGATGGAGAATTATATGATCAAATAGATGGAGTACCAATGGGATCTCCTTTGACTCCACTTTTGGCTGAGATTTTTCTTCAAGATTTTGAGAGAAAACATTTATCATCTTTTAATCAAATGGGTATTATTTATTGGAAACGCTACGTTGATGATACTTTTGTATTAGTAGACTCAAAAGTGCCTATTAAGGGCATTTCTTATATTCTGTATCAGTATCATCCATGTATTAAATTTAGTTATGAAGAAGAAGATCGATATACACACAAACTCCCATTTCTTGATGTACTGGTACAACGCAAATCAGGTGAAGGTTTTCAAACACGAGTTTATAGAAAACCAACATTCACGGGTCTTATTACTAAATGGAGCAGCTTCGTACCAAAAATTTATAAGTATAACGCATTGTCAACGATGGTGTATAGAGCTATTACGATTTGTTCCTCATATAATGTTCTACATCGTGAATTTAAATCAATAAGATCATTAGCAATTCGAAATGGATACCCTAATTCGAAGCTGGATTCGATTATTAGGCGTCAACTTAATCTTATGTATGAGTCTACTACTCCTATAACACCACCGGCACTCACTATTGATACTGTTGTTCTTCGAATACCTTATTTTGGACCATTAAGTCAAGTCTATACAAAGCGTATCACCTCAACTATTACCAAGAATTATCCATTAAAACAAATAAGAGTTGTCTATGATGTTCAAGAACGAGTTGGTGATAGTTTTACCTTGAAAGATCCAATTCCAGAAAACATGCAATCAGGAGTTGTTTATGAAGCCACTTGCCCAGAATGTAGCATAAAATATATTGGTAAAACATTTAGACATCTTAAGACACGTGTACATGAACATATTAATGATCAAAAAAACGATTTATGTGTGAAAAAAGTTAAGAAATCAAAACGTACCTCAAAAATAAAACCATCCATATTTAAACCCAATATTGAACGCAAAGGACCGATTACTAGATTACAGACCAGTAAATTCCAAAGCCAAATATTATAATGAACCAAGAAGACATTGACGCACTATTAAAAAATTGTGAAATAAAAGAAAAGCAGCCACAACAGAATACAGCTAAATCTTCTATAGTGAAACACTATCTTACTACCGGGCACATGTTTGATAACCATAACTTTCAAATCAGATTGAGAGAAAGACACAAATATAAATTAATAATAAAAGAATATCTTCTCATAAAAACAACAGAACCACAGCTTAACAAAGGCGTTCGATCAATACCACTATATATTTATCCTGATGGACTTCAAATAAATTATATAACGAAAAAACAATAATCGAACACTTGTCATTGTTCATCTTTCCGACCTATCACAACCAATAGAAAATAAATTACCTTCGCCCTAACCAAAAAGAAAATTTCTCCATCAAAACTCAATATCTATGAAACCAACCATAAAAACATATACCCAAATACATAAATATATATGAACATCAAAAGACTGAAACCACTGATAACAGTGCCATAATTATTTATCAAAATCCTGCTTCATTATCATACTACATCACACAACCATACTCAGCTGCAATATCCACATACCTGTGCTTCTACATAATAACTTCATTCACACCGTATCCACTTTACACAAAACTTAAACCTCAAATGATACCTCCAATTATACCAACAGAGCTCAAGCAAATCATAAACAACAGCCAACAACAGATCAAACCATATCAATTCATCCTCTTCCAAAATATTCGAGAGAAAAAAAACAACAACACATTTTACAATCTAGCGAACATTATTATCTCTTCTCAACACCTAACCTCAACATCAATTAAACGTATCATATACGTATACTCATAGTTTTGTAATATTAAAAACGATCAACCACTAGCTCGCCTCAAGCAACCAATTTCATTAAATCTATTATTTCTCTCCATTCGCGCAAATCACCATAAGTTAACATCAATTGAATATCATCATTTTTTCTTCAGAAACCAAAACATACAAATCGATTATGAATATGTGAAACAAATAACATCAGTTCTTCAAATAATTTCAATGTATCAAATTCAACAACAGATCGTGGGTCAAAAATAATCAATATCAACGTTATGGTTAAATAACAACTGACAAGATACTTATGGTTTAGGTTTAGGTTTAGGTTTAGAAACATCAGGTCGTGATAATGAAGTATTAAGAATGATAAAAAAAAGAACGAACAACAAATTTTGAAGAAAAATCAACATCATTAACAACATTATATAATTTAAACAAAAGAAAAAGAAAAATAATAATTTTTTGTACAAATATCGATGATAATCTGAAGATGACATTCGTTGTATGAATTTGTCGAAATATCATTATTAAAAAAGAGAAGCTATTAAATCAAACATCATAAAAGATATTTGAGCCGAAGGGTTTATCAGTCGAAACATATTTAGCAATACAAAAACGTTTAGAATAAGTGAAAAGGGTTCTTCATTCAAGAGTAAAATTATTTTTAGTATTATTTAACAAAAAAAATAAGTATCCACCAGACAAATTCTATCCTAAATCTTTTGGGAGAGTGTATGAGAGGTGTCGGTATGAATAAATCCTTTTATATACCCTTGCAAAGAGTTTAGGATAGAATTTATATTATTTTCCTTAACCCTTATAAGGGTTTATTATTCTATGTTTTCTTTTTACAATGTAGAGTAGAGGTGGACCGTTGATTTTAATTTTAGTTAATTAAGAGAGTTAATTAAGTGGTTTTACTTAACACTTAATATTAAGAAAAAAACGTTTACATTAGCGACTTAATTACTTAATATTAAGTGTTAACTCGATACTTAATATTAAGTAATTAAGTGGGTAATCTACACATTTTTTTCTTAATATTAAGTATTGCGTTAACACTTAATATTAAGTAATTAAGTCGCTAATGTAAACGTTTTTTTCTTAATATTAAGTGTTAAGTTAAAACTTAACACTTAATATTAAATTAACGTAAAGTGCCACCCCTAATGTAGAGTAATAATCTATCGTTTAAAAACATTCTAAATTTAATGAAACACTTTTCTTTCCTATACGTCTCATCTTGGGTGTTCTAGTCTTTTTTCTCTCTGTTATCTTTTACCATTCGCTCGTTTACTTAGACATAACAGGTCAAGACTGATCTTACGAAACCAGATAGGATAGTACAAACAAGTAACGTTCATCGACATCGAAAGTCGATTCACTGAGCCCTAGACTGCCAGTGCTGAGGAGAAGAAATGCATGGACAGGACAGAAAATCCGTTGTTTGTGCCAGTAGCTGTTGGCGATCTTTTTAAACAGATCTGCAACGGGGCGGGAATAAGTGAAACTGAAGTAAGAATTAGACGAAAATTAAGGGTTTCAAGTAAAAGCACTAAAAGGGAAGACGAAAACGGACAGAATGGTACTCAAAAGCGCATAAATCGGCGGAGAGATTGAGTGTTACCTAACCAAAAAATACAGTCTGGAAATTTCGTGATGGTAAGCTCAAAGTTCCGTAGGGGGATCAGCTCACCCCTCCACTCAAGACATATCCAGAGCGGACTGTTTTCCGTGACCATGTCACGCAGACGCCTATGGTTTCTGCCGTATATATGCCATAGGGGCCATCAAAATGGTCATTTCTGCCATAGAATTGGTCATTTGTGTCATAAAATTGGTCATTTGTACCACAGAAATGGCCATTTTGTACTGCTTGAATGTTCATTTGTGCCATAGAAATGGTCTTTTGTGCCACAGGAATGGTCATTTGTGTCATTGTTACAGACGGACAGACAGACAGACACAGGTGAATTACGGTTTCTAGACCCTATCCTTTCAGTCTAGGGAAAAACCATCGCCTCGGAAATCTTACGATACAGTAAGATCTTTCAAGAATTGGATGTTACACAAACATATAAGACCAGATGTAGAATCCTATAAGATATTAACATCTGATTGTTTGGTTCGGCCAAAGATCTTATCAATTAATTTTCATGTTATTTTGCGTAAATTGCTATTTGAGATCGAGAGAGATCTCCTATTCAAGAGAAAATCGTGTTACTTTGCTTGATGGGCTGAAACTTTCTTCCCGCACTGGTGTTGGACTTATTTTGTACGGATTCCTCAACGGCATAATTATCTTCTTCCGATAACTTGATAATCGGCTTATCCATTGCACACGAGCAGATGTATGAAATCTATTCTTCTCGTGGTTCAAAGATTGACTTCGCCTTTTCATATGGCATGGCATCGCAGTTGTCTTTTCGACATAACTTGGCAATTGATTTGTTTGTTCGCTACTTATTGGGTGCCAAAATGACATTTCTTGATTGTTTGATGATGAATTCATGCTTTGCAAATCAAAACGTGAATATCTTGACTGATTTGAATAGCTAGGTAGAAGATTTGTCGTACTGTTATTGCTCGATGTTCGAGATATTCTTTGTACATGAATTGATGAGTATCTTCTATTATGTTGATCAATTTCCGGTTTTTTATTGTCCAGACTCTGATTAGTTTTTGGTAAACTAAAAGGATGATTGTTGATGGATGATGACTTCTGCTATGGCAATAAGATCTTTTTAGTATATAACGGTATAAATATGAGTGATTACATACGATTATTTCTGATCTATTGGCACGGTTCACCGTTACTCTCGGAACTGATGATGCGATTTGCAAAATTACAGATTTATTTATAGTCTAAAAAATCTTTCAGTCGTTTCAATTCTTAATAATATCAGTATACTTGCAAATAAAGAATGATTTCTACATAACCTCGATTTTATGATCTTTGAATATTCTTACCATTATTTCAAATGAGATTATGAAATGAAAGTTAAGTCTAGCACTATGACTTTATGATTCTTAGTGGCATGTTTTATTTTATTTACACAGAGTAGAATATTAACTACACCATTTGTAGAAGTGTGAATTCAAAAGGCTAAACTATCTGCGTCTGAGTATATGTTTTCTATTTTGTTCTAGTATTACTCAGACTTGCAAACGAATCAAACAATTAGTAAAAGAAATGACCCATTTTCATTCTGTTTTTATCAATTCTTTTCATACCAAAGCTAGAGTTTCTTGCTAATTTTTAATAGGTTTTTATGACTTTGAAGGTTGAATTAACACAATCTTTATGGAATAAAAATTTGAAACATGCTGTCATTGCTGTTGCTGATTACAGAGGGATTTCCTTATTCAATCTATTTTCGGTTGAATGGTTTCTCCATCGTTCCAATTCATTCTTCATAACTCTAATAAGAAATTAGTTCACATATTTCAAAAACCGTTATTGACATGTGGTCTTTAATGGGTTGTCAATATATTCTCGCAAGATATGTGGCAGAGTTTCCAGGGTGCTTGCCAAAATTTGAAAGTAGAGGAGGAAATGAATTCAAATTTATACCCTATGTACTTCAACACTTTTTTTTATCGATAGATCTGGTTTAAAAAAACAATTTTTTTGAAATTCTGAACTGACAAGCTGCTAGCTGTTATTGAACTGTCCATTTATCTTCTGTGAGTTGCTTTCGATTGAATGTATGAAACTCTCAATGGTTAGTAGTTTTCAATTTCTCATTCGTTAAAAAATAATATAAAAAATTCTTTTCTATTGAGAAAGTTATACTAATCATTAGGATGATAATACTTTTAAAAGGTTTTCTTATCGAGATACCTATATATATGTAAAAAAATTGAAAACCCTACAGCTGTGTATTGTGTTAAATTAGTGTGGTTCCTCTATTGTTTTTCTGTATCGTTACTTTAGCGTATGTTGAAGTTTTCTCTATCTTGAGGGTGTGGGTGTGGTCAGTCTTCTACTGACTCCCACCTGCCCACACCCCATTTCTCTTCAAGCATCTCAACTTCCTCGATATCTGGGATACGCAACAGTGTTGGCTCTATGAATAATTTATTGTCATGCCATGAAATGTAGAATCTAACTCTGAACAAAGTAGTGTAAGTGTTAAATTAAACAGTCTAACTATTTTGAATTTAAAAACACTAATGGCATAGATATAATATGGAATAACCCCTTTCAATGATTTCACAGTTTTTACTTCAACAGTGTTTCTTCCAAATATTTCTTCTGAAATTCTCAAACGTACATAAAACGATGCAAATTTGACGAATAATTCTGTGAGATAGTTGAAATTATAAAGCTATTTCCTCATCGTTTTTTTTTTGGTTTTTGATCATCATTTGTGTTGGACTCGAACAAGAAAAACGTTTTTGAAATAAAGATTCGTCAATTTTGTATAGTTTAAAATTCTTTATTGCGTGGTATGTAAAGAAAAGTTTCTAATTCATAGAAACTCAGAGAGAAGGGTACCACGATGTAGTGGAATTCATTCTGAAATAGCTTCTAGGAGAACTTACGCTGAATAAAATAAAATTTCTGTAAGATAAAATGTATGCATATAATACAATAGAAGCTTACTACTCTTTCATGTATTTGGAGAAACAAAAGTAAAGGACATAATCCAATAAACATTTGTTAGGATTGAATACTGAAGTATAAGAAAAAAGAAGACTTTTAAACTTTAATAAAAAAAGCAAAAAAACTGCATTTTGCTAGTTGATTCAAGATTCAATTTAAAGTTATTTACTCCTATTGAATATATGCGCAAACATAGAAGAACAATCGAAAAAAAATACCTTGGCTCACAGTTAGAAGAAGTCGAACAAAGAAAATATCCTCTTTCAGCTTTTTTTTTATCGACCTATAAAAAGAAAACAATCAATCCTGCTTGAATATATATAGAAAAAAGCATCTATCCATAGGTCTTTGGCCAAATGTATCTTTTCCGTGTTACTTAATAATTCAAATCCTCCTACGACTAATAACAAATATAGTTCGAGTACTCTATCTTTACCTATCTTGAGGGTGTGCTAAATGCAAGTTTTCTGATTCTTTTTGGCAACATTGATTGTCTCATAGAAATTCTGTTGCTATTTCAGATAAAAATAAAAATTTGCTTATGTGAAATGGAGATATTTTTTCAAAATAGAAACATTTTCGATGAGATCTAATAGAACTAGTCAAAAATAAGAATTTTTCTTGGTTTTTCAATTTTTTCAAAAGTATTCAGATGTTCTTCAAATAAAAGGTTGAAAATAAATTTTTCATGTAAGGGATCGATAATTTATAAACAAATGATATATTCGAACTGTTCGATTAAAAATTGAGAACTTGATTTTTAAATTGATATCATGAATGATAAACAAAATACAGTCGATTTCCATACAAGTGATATCAACAGATTTTTAGGATATTATTCTTTTAGAAAAATTCTATTTTTTATCAACGAATTTAGACATCATGTTTTTTCCTTTAATACTATATGAATTGTTTTACAAATTTGTTCAATCTTACCATCTTTCTACTTCACAAATAATACTCAAAAAGCATTAAGAATGTATTGGAACTTCGTTTGTGCTACATTTATTTGAATTACCTATGTTCTATAGAGTTAACTGTCATTGTAGAGACACACTATATACAGCCGATCGAAAAACAGCCGTGGAATATATCTTCAGTTGTGTTCTCATGGTTCTGTTATATCAATAAGATAGAATCGAATGCATAGGAAAATGTCAAAAAACACATATCACATAGTAACTCATGATTAGCAGGCTAATTAGAATTGTAATTTCAGCAATCTAACTTTTATTTCAGAGATATCTCGTGAAATATTTTTTTTGATTGGAGAATTGTTTCATCTGCAAACAGTATTCGAGTTTTATGCGCTATTTTTTGGGAGCCAAAAACAGCACGAATGCATATAGAGTCAATCCATTTGATTGAATTTGCTATGTGAAAGCATGAAATAAGATTGCTTTATCGAGCATTCATTTCTGACCATACTCTAAAAACAAACTTGAATGTAACTCCTTCAACTGTATTCTAGGCATTTTTCTATGAAGTGGGTACGACGTTTTGTTCAATATTTTTTTCATGGTCAACAAGAATCGTATATATTCTTATTCATAAAGTTCTATTGTTATATTTTTTTTATCGCACACCAGATCAACGCTAATCAGAAGATTTTATCAATAGGAATGTTCATTGTTTATTTTATGGTCTAACCAACGACTGCTCGGTATATCGACGATTCATTCTCTTATCTTTTGAACATTGAATAATTCAAAGCTAAATTAAATTAAAATTAGGTAAATTGGTGTGTGGGTCAAGACAATGGTCACTAATCATGCCCTCACACCCACACCCACAGCCAATCATATCTGATTGCATGCTTATTTTATCGTCAAATGAAAATAGCATCGAGTTGTGCATGTTTCTCTCTTCATCATGCTTGACTGATCACTGTCGTAGAATAAAGATAAAAAGGAGTGCTGCTCACATTCTTATTCAGCTTTTTATTTTCATTTAGATTCGGAACCTGTATATTCAGCGATTCTTCTTCGACTCCGATTGTCCTTCGGCATTAACTAACGGCAAATATTTCTATCGCTAGATTGTTCATAGTATACACTCTTCGTTTGATATTTGTTCCTACTATTGATCGCCGTCCTAGTGAAAAGTGTGATACTAAATTCTACAGTATAATTGTTCTTGCTAACGGACAAGGAAAACCACAGCATACGAGAGAACCGACAATACAAAGGTGACTCCTATTCTTTAAAACCCTATTGCACAATTCAACTTCACGAATTGAATATCGTGTCCTATCTTTTAACATACGTATGCTTCACGAATCTTGAACAGTGAAAACTACTGTAGCTACTTGTTCTAATACTAGGAAAGATCAGTTCACTGTCAGTGAATCGAGACCGAACAACAGAAAGGCAATTTCTTCAAGACGTTACAATAAAATAGCACTTCGCAATGCTATTTGGAGATGAGTAGCTTCGTGAGCTGGTCGGTACGTACCTGAGAGCGGAGTCTGTGTAACACGATGGGCTCCGATTCTCTATCATTGATATCATATTATTCTCTATTAACATGAAATGCAAGGCATTTTCTCACATGTACCTAAAAAGAAGCATATATGTTAATTGAGAGCTAGTGACTGCTCGAGAGCAGCGTTGATTGCATTAGCATTTAATATTGTTCATTGTGAAATTTTGTTGAGATAATAGCGTTGCAGCAGGTCGGAGCAAAGGTTTTGATCCGAAGCTGATAACGGCCCAGGTCGAACAGTACGGTCCGTATACGGCCGTTGACGGTTACTTTACGACTATTTTACGGGCGAAAGTTTGCCGTAATATCTGGCGCAGTAATACGGACCGTATTATCATGAGAGTACGGAGCACAAACAGCCGTAAATCATGAAAATTCAATCCCGTTTACGGTGCCGTATTACTGCGCCAGGTATTACGGGCAAATAAAGCCTATTTAATGCCGTAAATATACTGTTTTGACATCGTTTACCGTCGATAAACAGACCGTAAACGAGTCCGTTTTGATCAACCTGGGCACACCCACATTCGCCAATAACTAATGATATCGACCTACTAACAAATTCTTTTCGTTGAGAAGCATGTTGAAAAATGTAAGCACTATTTTTATTCAAAATTCGTCTATCTCGAGCCATTCAGAGAAAGCTCAATCAAAACACAATAAAATAAATGAAAATTGAACGAGATAGAAGAAAAACAAATCTCTAAGAGAGCATATTTCTTTCTTGATGTGAAAGATCGCAATATCAAAAGAGCCATGCTGGACAGTTCCTACCACACAGTACACTTATTCACACGACTATTGCCTTGACCTGGTTGACAGCCAAATACTCTATCGAACTCTGGGAAATTCGAGGTAGAACCGAGTATTCTAGATCGAAAAATGAACTTTTATATCATCTGAAGAAACTGTAGAATAAAGATGTTACCTGAACTGACTTGGTGAATGCACATCATGCAAAACTAAATTTCTCACGTATTGATCCGTCATCTTCGAACACCATATTTGACCATAATTGAGAAAGAACATTTGTTCGACTGAGTATTTCGTTAGACCTGGAAGCTTCTTGTCAAGATTTCGATGGATGTGAGTCCACTTTTGATAAGCCTACACTTATCTAGGTTGGAATCGAGTAAAAGATACGCAGAACTTACAGCAAATGCTGCTTTCAGTCCACCGTTATCAGCAATATTTTCACCTTGAGTTTGTTCACCATTAACCTGAACGTCAAAGAAAAGTTTTTTATGTTCAACAAAATAAAATAGAACAAGTCACCGGAAGATCAATTTGAGTCACTGTATAATTGTTGTACTGATCAATGATGCAAGTCTTCCGTTGGTTAAATGCACTTAATGTCTCATTATCCCACCAGAGTATCTTATTTCCATCTTTGTCATACAGTCCACCGAAGTTATCGAAGCCATGTGTAATTTCATGTCCAATGATCGTTCCGATAGCTAAATTTAAAAATTATTTTCTGTTCTATTCGTTACTTTGAATTGTGTCTCACCGCCATAGTTGAGATATCTAGAACAAAAACAGAAATTTTCGAATAAGACAACTAATGCAATCTCACTTGGGTGCATCTTTGTAAAAGAAAGGCGTTTGAAGAATGCCAGCTGGAAAAGCTAAAGGTAGATTCATATATGACATATTACTCTCGGAAGAGTTTTCTTCTTCGTACAGATATCATTAAATGAGGGATTATAAAAGGCATTGACGATAGTGGGCGTATATCCAATCCATTCTTCTCGATCAAGAAGTTGTCGAAGCACTTGAAGATTTTTTTTAGCATTTAGTTTGAGCATGAGCAAAACGTTCCGTGCAAAAGACGAATTGAAATTATACTACATTTTGAAACAAAAAATAAAAGAATCACAAGAATCATTGTTGGCTATTTTTTATACCTCGGCATAATTTTTCTCCAACTTTGTGTTATTATTGTCGTCTAAATAGGCTGGATAGCCAACTTTTGCGTTTATAGCCCGGGCCTGTATAATGGAATCTGTCTTGTCAACGTCTAGATCATTTTGATATTTCGCTTACTTTATCGATTGCTCTACTTTTCGAGATGGAGTTCATCCATGTCGATTGGTTAATAATATCAATAAACTGATTTCGAATATTGTCAATCATTACAATTGACTGTTAAAAAATTAAAAAAATAGAAATTCATCACCAAATTGAGCTTTGAATACCTCTATACGAGCGTCCTTGTCAAAATATTTATCTATATAAAGTTTTGAAACAGCAAACCCCATATTGTAATTGACATACCTAGCACACTTCATTGCGCGTACTTGCTCAACAGTAGTACCGAGAAATACTTGATCGAACTGTTGTTTGATGGTTCGAAATCGCCGTGGTATAATCCATGCCCGACTCATCATGAACCGCCATACCATATAGTTTTGTAAAACTCGTGGTGATTGTTGATCAACAATTAATGAAACATTACGTAAATAGTCAAGTTCACTCGCAATTACAACATCCGTATCAACAAGAGATACATTTGCCAAAAGGTAGAGACGACGAAGGTGACGAACAAAGTCAAACTGAACGCAAATAGGAAGATAGAAAGATCAAAAATAATACTCACCGTAGTGTTGATTGCAGACGAAAGATTGCCGATGGTCGAATGGATAGTCTCAGTATGCCGAACAATCTGTTCATTTAACGTCCAATGATACTGTTCAATAAGTGAACGCCGTGAGACACAGAATGTATGAGAAGAAAGAGCGAATTACCGTAGCGATGGTTTTTTCAAAATTAAATATATCATTAACATCATCATTGATCATTGATCTGTCTGTAGCTAATGCCAAAGCAAAGTTCTGTATGAATTGCCGATAAGCTTTAGTGACGTCGCTTTCGTTAACATAATAGCTACGATCTAGCAAACCAAGATCACTTTGACCAATCTGAATCATTAATATCGATTAACCATCCAAGTTTACGATAAATCTTACTCGAATGGCTTGAACCGATGAATTCATCTCATCGATCTCTGTACCTGCAATATAAATTACGTCGCTACTATACTCGGCTAATTTAAGCAGTAACTGTGAGAAGTTAAATGTTGCATCGTCCCACATTGGCCCTTGCAATATGGGCCATCCACCTAGTTCTGTATTAACAAAGGATAGTAACACATTGACAGAGTCTGCCATAATAGCTGTTTCATTGACGCAGGAAGCGAATAAGCGCTGAGCATTAAGAACTGCTTTTGGTATATTGGTATTGTTCGATGTCGACAATGTCAGAAGATCTGCAAACAATAAAACTATCAATGGAAAAGCATGGTTGACGTATTCTCTACCAATAATAGCATCTTGCAACCGCGTCTCCAACGTGACAAATATATCTTGAGAATTGGCTTTTTTTTTATAGAATGAATTGAAGTTTAATTCTAAAATGCATAGAAGAACAGAGAAAACTTACCATCATTTGGTATTTTAGTGTTCTTAAGTTGCGTACCACAGACAAATTCGTAGAAGTTTTCACACGGATCGACTGTCTCATCAATACTCCCGATTAGAGAACTTGCTACAAACAGAGAATAATATTTATCGTATCCATATAAAGATTCTGACCTGCTTTCACACAATATCTTGTTAAACACAAATCACTGTTGCCATCGACTGAAATGAATATTCATGTTCAAATACTTTGTTTGATTTTTTTCTATTTCTATAAGATTCCCTAATATAGACCTGTTATCGTTTGATTATTCATTCTTCGATTTTGTTCGATACCATACACGACGGCAAACGCCATACTTCCAATGAACGAAAAGCCGACAACAACACCGAGAAATATCCAGAACAATCCTATGCATTGCGTCCGTGGCGATGATCGACTAGAAATCTAGTTTACCAATTTCTTCAAAAAGCGCTAAACATTCCACTTACCGGTCAGAATGAACTATGGGCATGATGCTCGTTGTTAAGTCATCAGGGATGTTTATTGTTTTTATCATGATTAGATAGTTTACCTTTTAGAATACAAATCTTGGCAAATAAATATCATTCAATAGTTCTTATCGATGCTTGATTGGCCATTTCCTTGCAAAAGTCAATCACTTATCTATGTTATGAAGCAATCAAATGATGTGTCTTTCTTGTTTTTGAGAGTGCAAATACCTGTCTTTTACCCAAGTAAGACATGCACGGTTGCATGCCATTTAGATGGAATTCAAAATATGAATTGACGATAGCAAGGATAGAATAATCGTTAAGAGGGAGACAAAAGAGCATACATTGATTGGACTATGATTATCTATCTTCTACAACAATCTTCCAAATACTTCACTGACTTTATTAAGAATAAAAGTAGGAATACTATCGTGCTCTGCTGTAGAAAATGAAAATTTCCGACAAGCAGTCAACCGAGCTGTCCTGATTTTGGGTGTGAGGTGGATGCGGGTATTTTCTTGGCATCCTAGTAGATCCTGGTAGATCTTATAAGGGGTATTGAAAGAAATTACTTCACATAGAATTGCTTTATTATTTATATGCCATTCAGTGCTCTCTCACCACATATATAACTTCTCTTTTATCGAAAGGTAAACTATACAGATATTTGCCATTTGATAAGATTTCTCGTCAAATCAAAACAAAAACTTCTATTGTGGTAATTTACTATATTCATACGAGCGCCTCAAGTAACGTTCGCGATTGCACTTAAATGAAAAAGGACCTCTGAAAGATGAAAAAGAACTTCTGTGCTCCGATAACTTCCTACGCATATTAGTTCTAGTGATAGGATCGGTTTGTTGTTTTTCTGGAACCGAACCAAACCACCAATTAAATAATACAGAGAAAAGTATCCATTTCTCGTCGTTTTTATGAATATTCCTTGGAATATTCACTTGGAACAACTTATTGAAGACATTATTATAACACTTTCTATAGTTCTAAGAGAGACTCAGAATACTGAGCTGCAGATAAAGTTAAAAGCATACGTATTTCGCTTTTATTTTAGAAATATCGTTCCATTGAAATGCTTGCAGCGTATGTTCAGTGGATATGTATCCACTTTTTCTGTCAGTCAAGAACGATTCGCTACATTTTCGTTCGTCATTGAGTGCAAAGAACACAATTTGTTTTAACTAGTAGGTTCTTATTCTTTGAGTGACGTTCTGTGAAAATATCATATAGCCTAGGCTTCAATAAATAATTTATATATGTTACGCTTTTCCGCGTTTGTTATGCACTTGGTTACTTTATCATTTCGGAGTGATGGAGCACTTGAAAGTAATATTGTAATAATGACGGAAAGCGTATCTATTCAAAATGAAAGTGTAGTCCTACAAGATATAAAGAATGTCAAAATTTTTAATTTCATTTCGTTTCTTACAGTTTAAAAAGTAATAATCACTATGACTGGCTAAACTTGAAAGTTTTGCACTTACTACTAAAAGATTGTCTGTAAAAGTATATACTGAATGATGAGCAAAACTATTGCTCGTCGCTGAAGATCTATGAAACAGTTGAGTAAGCCATAAAAATGTGCTATCATTTTTTCATTCACTTTAAATGAACAGGTTTACAAATATATTCGAATTTATATTTAGATGAAATCAGTTCCCAGTATTTGGAACCGAACCGGTCGCATTGCTGATCAGCTCAGAAATGTGTAGCATTATATCTCAAAAGACTGCCGTTGTATCTATTCTAGATGTTGAATGAACAATAGAAAAGCAACAATGATTCAATTTATAACAAATTTTAATGATAATTCTTTAAGAAGAATGTAATTTGCCCGTTGCACACAAAAACAAACTAGCCTATCAAAAAAAAACAATTTTTTTTTGCTCAGACATTTACACATACAAAGAGATATTTGATCATTGTTATAACCTGTACAAAAAAAGAAAACAATATAGTAGAAAATGTCTATTTTTCCGATTGACTTCGACTTTGATCAGCTGGTGATGACGACGAAGCTCTTGATGGATTATTGCCATTATTAAAAGTGTCATTTGTTGTCAAGGAATCATTTTTATTGTTAACTAATTCCGTAATACGAACTGAAACTCCATCAACTGTTATTGTTGTTGTTGTATGCGTTGATGACGAATTTGATGATGTTGATGACGACGACGACATGGACGAAAGTGATGATAGTTTAATTTTTTTTCTAAAGATGAAATTCAATTTACCAATGAAATACTTAATAAAATTATAATTTACTTTTTTTTCTGTACATCATTTTTCTTATTTCGTTCATTGCTCGTTACTTTAATTTTTTGATTATTATCGTTCGATTGCCTTTGTTTAGGATCTTTCGATTTTGATGATTGATGTTTGATGATTTTTTTCTGGTCATTTTCATGATTAGGCTTTTTATTAGTTATTGGTATTGATATTGATTTGGTTGAGCGGGATAATGAGCCAATGGTTGGTCGTTTCTTAGTTGTTGATATTTTCGAAGGATCGTTTATTTTTGATGATGACGATGGTGAAGCGGACCGATAGGATCGTGTTGTTGTTGTAGATGATGCTGGAGATGATATACTTTCATTGAAATGATCATTCGGAAATGATCGTCGTGTATGATTATTATTATTATTATTCGAATGAATATTTTTACGTTCTTCGTGTTGGAATTCTTCATCATCATCGTCGTCATCATCTTGACCATCTGTATCATCAGTTGTCGATGGATCAGAAGAATAATCGTCATCGGTTTTACGTTTCGATCTTGGCAATTGCTCAACATGCCCGCTTAATACAAGTTTTGGTTTTCTAAATGCATACATAAAAAACAAACATTGTTAGCTTTCTTTTTTCAACAACACCGAGTATTCCAAGGGATAAAAAACGGAAACTTCTCTCTGAATCATATTAATATTTTGCGGTATCCTACCGAGTAGCTGTTCCTTTTCTTGAATCACACATTTCACATCGAAATGCTACACATGGATTTTTATATGTACACAATGAGCAGTCCCATGTTCCATCATTAAGAATTACGCGTGATCGTTTTGCTCTAAAGGAAAATAAATCAAAAACAATAATTCCCCCTTAATTTGTTGTCCCTACTTTCGATCTGTCATGATTTCGAATGTTGACGATTCATAAAAGAAAAACTAGTTCATCTAAAAATAATCAATTCTATTTATAAAACATTCATCGATTTATGTTTCTTCAGAAAATTTTTTATTTTTTTCGTCATCAACTTTTTTTCTTAAACGTTCTGTGTGTTCAAGTTTAGCTTGTCGATCAGCAGCAAATTGTCGATAATTATCAATACCTTTCGGTATTGTATTAAGAAATTCTTTTACATTCGAATATGTTCCTTCGACAGAATTGCCCATACGCATTTGCATACCAACAAAACGAGTGCGACATGATTGATCACAATACGGAGCTCTCTCTGTCGATTTACACATACATAATTCAGCCACTTGAAATTTTGATGAAGTAAATTTTAATGGACGTAAATTGCCTCTCAACTGTTTACATGCTTGATCGCAAAGAGCCTTCAATAGAGACATTATTTACCATTACAAAAAAGAATGAAAACGAGCAAATTGAGATTTTTACTTGATGATGTGCATAACCGCATGAACACCAATAGTATGTTCGATTAGGCAGAAGTTCAACTTTCATCGGTTGAAAACCGCCAATACGTTTTCTGTGATTGCTAGCTTCGGGATTTGAGCGTGCTTGAAATGCTGTTTTTAAAAATTCCCAAAACGGTATACGAGCACGCTAAAGTAGACAACAAGGATAAGAAAAACAAAGTATTAACAACAAGGAAAACATTATTGAACAACGTACGCACACGTATTGGCTGAATGATTTGATTGGATCCAACGATTAGTCGATTGAAATTTGATGAACGATGAAACATGATTATCTAAAATTTCAAGAAAAATCAGTTAACTTTGATAAGAGAAAACAAAAGACTTCGAAAAAATTTATATAGATTTTATATTTATATACACATCGCAAAAAAAAAGAATGAAGTACAATGAAAATTAAGTTATGATATACGTATTTATAATCATGGCGGTTTGCTTTTTCATTGATTATTTAGAGGGATGTATTGAATGCTTCTTTAATCATTGTTTTCATGTGGTTGACAATGGTTGGTGAATCACTAAAATGAATCTAGAAAAAAAGAGAAATAAAATAACGACACTCGCATTTTATTATTGTAAGTTACTTTAAATAAATATGGTTGAATATCAGTATATGATGTATCAAAAACTAAATCGAGTTCAGATAAATGAGGTGGTTTAGGTACATAATCAGGTTTATTACTTGAAAACAAAAAATAATGCATTAGTTGAAGAAGTTTCAAGAAATTATTTTCTTACATTATTTCAGTTATTTGAAAAATACGTTCTGTAAGTGAATCAGAAAGTTTTTCACGCATAAATTGTCGTTCTAAAAAAAAACAGTTCGAAAATCTTCACATAGATCAACGAAAAAAAAATACCATTTTCACTGGATAATTGCATTTGTTCAATTTTAATAGTCCATATTTCCCATGGAATCTCTTCTGGTTTAAACATCCAGCGAGATTTTTTCTTCTGATAAAACTCCAGGGTAATCTATTCGAAAAAACAAGTTTTGAAATCGGCGCTTTCCCTTCGTTTTTCAATTACCTGTCCACTGCGATTTGATTCTGACGAACGAAGTTTATCATGGAATTGATTAATCTTTTCAGCGACAGTACGTTGAAGTTCTTGACTAGTTACTTGTAGCTAAAACATTGCAGATAATTCAGAATATGTTATTATCGAACGAGCTGATATAGGAATCAAAGAAAATTATAAGATATTCTGTACAAGCAGCATTATGAAAATAGTCGATTGATTTAGTTTTAGACAGATTGTGATGGCAGTCAATCAACACGAAGAGATGCCAATTTTATTGCAAGCTAATCATTGAAACAAAACAATGGAATTAGGTTTACTCAACGAGATTACAGTTGGTAGCTCTGCTTCCGACGTATGCAATTGAGCGCTGAAGGTAATGGTTGGACGCTTAGAATGCTTACATATGTAAAATCAATATAATCACAGTCGACATCAGTATAGCCTAAAGTTCCAACTGAATAACTATCTTCACCGTTTGTATGATACTTGAAAAAAAAAGAAAAGCAAAGAGTAATTTCATTTATAAATAAAAACTGCTAACAAACCTTTCCAACACAACGATGAAATAAAATACTATGAAACATACAAGAAACAACTTCGTCTATTTGTCGACCTTCGACTGCAAATTCAAATGTTTGTGATCGTGCATTCATTTTATCTGAAAATTGAGAAAAAACACCGTTCGATCACAAACAAAGAAAAACAATCATCAAGAAGATGTTGGGAGTTTTTTATTTTTTTTCAAAGCACAAGCTTCTTCATAGGCTGGGTGAATGGGCGGTTGAACTGGTTCAATATAGGATTGATCTTGTTCTAGCGGATAGGTTTTATCAGAATCAAAACCATCTAAACTGCCGCATGCAATAAATGGAATTATAAATGATGAATTTTCTTGTTTATCTAATGTGCGTTCGTAGGCATAAATAAATGGTTCGTCTATATTCGGAGTAAAATCATCCGGCAAATGAAATTGTCGACAAACAATAAATGATTCAATAGATGAATTTCTTGATGAACGCGGTTTAGCAATAACAACATCATCGAAAAATAATTTGAATTGTTGATAAAGTAGATCGATATTTTTTGTACGAAATATTTTCGATACAAAATTACCATTATCATTTAAAACATGAAGACAAATATTTAATGCAGCTAGAACAAGATTCCCTTGAACGAACTCATCAATATCATGTAAACCTGTTACATCAGGTGCACCATCACATATAACAAGATCGGCTTTATTCATTTGATTATCGGATGTTTTGAAGCAACCAAGAATTTCTTCGATTGTTGAACGTTTCGTTATATCACCTTTAATTTGTATCACACCAGGCAATGGAGCCATGGTTTGCAAATCGACAGCAACGATTTTAACTTGATCATCAACTGAATCAGTTTTGTATAAAGTTCGAGAAAGAACTTGAGACCAACTTCCTATAAGGGTAAACTAAAGGATTCACGGGACTACTTCTAAAAATAAATTCCTCATACCAGGTGCAGCACAAAGATCCACAACTCGTTTCACATTGTCATTTAAAATATTAAATTCACTGTTAATCTGTAAAAGTTTAAAAGCTGATCGAGCTCGAAGGCCTTGTTCTTTTGCCAGACGATAATAAATATCTCGTTTATCTTTTGTTGATTTACCCATCTGAAAAAAATCACAAACGACATTATATAGACAGGAGAACAAAAAAAGGAAATATTTTTCTCTTTTATTTAATGATTTTTTTTCGAAGTATTTTTAAGTTTAGGTCGTTCAAAAACTTGTTTCAGGCCGCCGCCATGTTCTTGAAAAAACTTTTTAGTTGATTGTTTATCCGATGCCCACGGTGATTCGAATATTGTGGTATCTTGATCGACCAAATGCGTATATTTGGTACGTCCAGCCATACCAAAATTTTTCACTTGCATAACTTTCGGTAGAACGGTTTTATCGAAATGATCTTCAAGTGTCGGTGAACTGTAATCGCGTTTGAGTATATCTTCATCTTTATCCTAAAAAAACAAAAAATGAAAATAAAGAAGAATTTTTCTAAACGAATTAAACAGCGAGAACTAACCATAAAGAATGCACCACGATGATAGTATTTTTGTAAAAATTTGTATTTCGCTTTCGGCACTTTGTTGTCGATAATTTTCGGATTCTTTTTTAATTCGGCTTCACGTTCTTCTTCTGTCATGTTATGCCAGCGTTCAAGTTCTTGTTTTTCGCGTTCACGTCTTGAATAGAAAAAGAAACGAAATGATTTGCTTTCTCTTTTCAATTTTGACTTACTGATCACGTTCTTCACGATCACGTTTCAATCGTTTAAGTTCACGTAACTTCCATGCATCATAAGCAGTTTCACCATCTTCATCATCTGTATTGAAATCACATTCAATGCCATCGTCAGTCTCTTTTTCTTTCAATCGCTCTTGTCGAATGGCTTCTTCAACGATCTATAAAATTTCAGCATAGAGGCAATCTAATTTTTTTTCTTCAAAGTTTTACCTTTTGTGTCTGCATTTTTCTTTGATCAGCAAGACGTTTCTTTTCTATTTCTAATTGTAATTGGTGTTTTTCTTCAGCTTCACGTTCAGCAACTGTACGACGATCAGTTCTATGAATAAAAATAAATAAATCCTAGCAATGCATCAAGAGCTTGAACTTCAAAATTATTTATGAGAATATCTACATGTAGATCGGAAGTTGTTCTTCTATAAAACTTACTTTCGAACGAAAACAGGCTTCAATCTTGGTACACCATCATCATCATCTTCTTCCTCTTCATCGTCTTCTTCACTTTCGGATTCTTCCGATGCTTCAAGTTCGTCTTGTTCCGGTTCTTTTTCATCTTCAACTTGCAGTAATTCCTAGAAAATAAATAAAATCTTTAAAAAAATACCATTCTTTTTTTCTTTTGTCTATTACTGTACTTCTTCTTTCACTTTTGCTTTCAAGCGTAATCTTTGTCGACGTCGTTCGATTTGTTCTTCATCGAGTTCTTCGTCATCATCAGATGATTCAATTTCCATTTTAACTCGAGTAGACGTAACATTATCATCCTCATCCATTCGTTCACCTTCGTCGTCGTCGTCTTCGTCCTCTTGCTGTTCGATCTCTTCGTCGGAACTCTGTTCTAAAACTTCAGGCTCGATGATACGTCGATGTCGACTGAGTCTAAAATGAGATTTATTTTCTCAAAATATAATTTTCTTCATTTTTCAAACTAAATCATACCGATCATCATCATGAATTTCTTCTCGTCCTTGCAAACGGCGAATACGACGATCTTCTTGTTCGATACGATTAACTAAAAAAATAATATAAAGTATAAGTTGAATAATTCATTTTTGAAATAAATTTATTTACGTGCAGATGATTTCACATGGTCATGTTTCAATTTGTGTTCTTTTCTATCGTCTTCTTCGTCATCACTGACATGTACACCCTCAGCATAATCTGGTCTAAAGATATATAATCTTCTGAATAAAATAAACAAAACAAAAAACAAGTATGTACCGTTTTCCAGCAACATATCGATGAACTTTGACTTTTTGTGTGACCAATTGTCCTTTCGCATTTCGTACACTGATGGCACCAGCCGTTGAGAGCGATGGTGCTTTGAAAAAGCCCTCGTCTATATCGATCATAATCGTAGCAGATGACAGATAGACAAACTTATGCAAGAAGAAATCATTCAATAGAAATAAAGAAACTTGCTTCATGGACGGTCGTTTGAGATAATCGAATCAGATAACAACACTTGTAGATGGCGCCAGATACAAACATTCTTCGTATTTTAACATTACTGCGCAAAACTTGGAAATTCGACTATCAATTCGATTTTTCTCATTGTGACAACATTATTTGTTACTACGTTGAATTACTATCACTAGAAATTAAGCCGCAATGCACGCGAATTAGGAGGGTGATATTTTTTTTTCTAAAGTACTATGTGTCTCGTGCGTTCTTTACTTCACGTTCACGTAAATGCACGTGGAATTGGAATTCATGATCAGAATTCTTTGCGATTAGAATTTTAAAAAAATAACGTTTTTGATCGAAATTCTAATGAAAATTGTTTTTTTCAGAGTGGCATCTGTCAAATAGTTTCTTTATCTATGTTTTTTTTATATCTATTTACGATTTTCAGAAATTCGAGAAAATTTCATCGAACTCGACCAAGCTGCTCTGAATTTACTAGTAGTACTAACAAAATGGCTGTAAGAAGCGAGCAAATCTTCGACAAAAAAAAAACATGGCGGCATGAATATGTTCTCGGCTGTAGTTGAGTAAATATAAGATAAAGATGTTGTCGGTAAACCTTGCATAATATTTAGCATTGGCTTACGATGATAAGTGAAAGTACTGACGATTATAAATTACTTTATTGTCCACCAAAAAATTACTTTAAGGGCTTAATAATTGCTTTATTTATTCTCAGTTCTTTTATTCTATGTTGGTATCATGCTTTATTTCAAATTAATTTTACAAAAACAAGTTGGTACGATATCATCGGAACATTTTTGATTTTGGAATTTTTATACACCGGCCTGTTTATTGCTGGCCATGATGCTATGCATGGAGCAATTTGCAATCGTGTGAGTGAACTAAGTAATAATGTGTAGGGTAAATTGATAGATAATATAGGTTAACTACATTGAGTAGAAAGTCTCGTATTATTATCTCAATAAGACGGTCAAATTTCTAATTTAACTCCTTTTAATATATCGAATTTTAGTATCGACAATTAAATGATGTTATCGGTCATGTATGTTTGTCTGCATATGCTTGGTTTGATTATCGAATTATGTATGAAAAACATTGGCTACATCATAAGCATACTGGCCTTGCCAATGAAGATCCTGATTATCACGATGGTCGGTGTATAGGATTTTTTGCTTGGTATACTCATTTTCTAATTGGATACACTACTAAACAACAGCTATACAAAATGACCGTATGGGTCACTACTCTTCAAGTAGTATTTTCTGTTCCATTGCTGAATATTATTGTCTACATGTTAATATGTGGATTATGTAGTTCATTACGTTTATTTTATTTTGGTACTTACACTCCACATCGGCCAGAGTTAGTCGACGGTAAATATGACGAAGCGATGCCATGGGAAAAATCAAGATCAGCTAGTGCAAATCGATTAGTTAGTTTTTTATGTTGCTATCATTTTGATTATCATTGGGAACATCATCGATGGCCATATGCACCTTGGTGGGATTTATGGAAATGTAAAGAGCTCGCAAAGAAAATGAATTAATTTTAACATACATTTATATGTAAGCTTTTTTTTTAGAAAGAAATAATAAAAAGACATTAAATCACTGAGTGTTATTTATATGTTTGTCTAAAATTCTATTAAACTGAAAACAATAATATAGTTTATCAATCGTCATTTTTCTTTTTCTGCCATCGACTCGAACACAACAGTGCCAAACCAGGCTTTCTTCGGGAAAAGGACAAAAACTCGACCCATGGCTACAAATAATATAAAATTTGCAAAACCTACTGAGAGAGTCGTTCGATGGACAGTGCAGATTAATAGTACAGCAAGTAGTATTTCACTGCTCAATAAAGCCCAATAGATAAAACGACGAACATGCACAATACCAGCTGTTAACGTTGGCGTATTATATCTTGATGGCACCGCAGCATACATCAAACCAGTGATAACTATAATCCATGAATTCCATAAAAAAATGAGAAAAGAAGCCAATGGAGTTATTTCGTTTTGGGGTTGAAGAAAAATTGAAAGGAATAATGATGGATAAAGAAAGACAAAGACAATAACACCAACATTTGAAGTAGCTTCAGCTAGGAAAAGTAGACGAATGGGTTTATCATTGACTACACGAAGACCTCTGACGTCATCAAGTGAAATTTGTTTTGTCATAAATTTGTGAATCTGAATATGAAAAAATATATTACACATGAAAATCTAATTTTTCTATTGTTCAATAAAGTAAGAATTTTTTTAAAAATCTTTAATGATATAGAACTGAATTTTGTAGCATACCTTATCTTCTGTTTTGTCAGTTGAGTACTTAATGCTATCGCGAGTATGAATGGACGAATCTTTAGGTTTCATTCTAAATAAATTAAAACACATCTTAACCGAACGCATTCACCTATAAAATACTAATTAAATTCATTACAGAAAGCGTCCTTCAACACGTGTGAGTGAAAAATAACAAGGCTAATACTTTCCATAGAGACGCAATGAATGAATCGAATCGTAGTCCTTATTTTACCATCATTCACCTATACTTTTCTTTCCTGTGATTGACAGGTAAACTAAACGAATCATAGTTAAGCTGGTATGTTTGAATTTTCAAGAAGATTTTTCGCAGTTCAAATACTTGCATTCTGCTTTCATTTCATGCTAATAAACGTTTGGATATGATTAAATGAGCTACGCGAAATTCAAAATAAGATCGAGTTAATACTGATAGGCATCATAATGATCATTGGTACAGTCATGAATACGTAGGCCAAAAGAGAACAGAAGTACTAGTTAAAACAGGGAAATAATGAGATTTCTATGAAATAAGTTGACAGAAGCCGAACTGATACGCTTTCATGATGAATAATCAAGAATTGCGAGAATATAGAATTAAACGCATTTGCAATTCATTTCGATTGCAAAAACAAATTAGTATATGATTAATTCAAATGAATAACCATTGGCGCAAAGTCTTGATACAAAATTTATTTATTTATTTTTTCTCAACAAGAACTTAACTTTTCAGTTAATCATATTAAAAGAAAGTACATATACACATGTACTAAAAATTAAAATGAGCAAGCTTCGAATGGTCCTTTATCCGCGATTTTTCGGATACTAAGTCAGGTTTTTCTGGTAATATTAGTTTCCTAGAATACCATAAGGGTTTCTGAGAATATGGTTTGGTTTCAAGCACCAGGGAAAAGGTTTTGTAGAATACGTTAAGGGCATCGAAATCGGTATTGTTGAAAACCTGAGGGTTTTCGAGGTCTCGGAAATGAAAAGCGTATTTTTGAAAACGCTTGAACCCAGGTGAAAGAAAACGGCCCGTAAACGGCCTGAAACGGCACAAAAACGATGTAAAACGTTAAAAGACGGCGCCGTTTTCCGTCAGCTCGGAAAACGAAGAGAATAGTGTTAAAAGCGATGGCTGTTTTCTAGCAAAACAAAAACGGCCCGTAAAACGAGCTGACGGATTACGGCGAAATAGGGTGAAAATTAATGCTGTTTTTTGTCGTTTTATAGCCGTTTCCGATGGTGTTTCAGACGGCAGGATGATCCTCCTGGGAAGTTCTCAGAAACCCTCTCAGAAACGGTTTTTCAGAGATTGCCACAGTAGGTTATCAAAATACACTGTATTCACTGGTACCGGCAATAACCGCATTCAAAAATATGCGATGGGCTCTTGAATTAGTACAACAGTCTGTGAAAGTGGAACATCTGGTTCATTTTCCACCCAGTTGAGGAATCCCTCACAGGCGTTGGTTGACTCGAATGGAGACCTTTGTGTGGCCGATACAGGAAACCATGGAATTCCATTGTTCTATAATGGCTCATCATCTGGAATTACCATTGGAAGTATTGGACAGTTATAAAATAGTTTGATGAGAAATATTCATTTTGCACTATTTTCGTGAGGCTCATTGCTTCACCTATATAATGTTGACAATTCTATTCCAGGAAAGCCTTCGTCAAGGAAAGCTGTTCTGATGATGAACCAATGCTTTTTTGATTTATCTGATATGCAAAAAATATTTCGTTTAGATCGAGCTACCAGCGAAATAAGATACAAAACTCGAGATGGACAAAAGTTTTCCATGAAAAAAGAACTATAAATCTTCGAGAATAGAATAAGCGTCAGAATCTGATACGGCTAGACTAAACTACATATTATTCAATACTTCGAATCTAATGTTTCAATTAATTTGATAAAATTAAGATTTTATCACGAAAACCTCTTTAGAATGTTTATTTTAGGTAACATGGGTAATTTGAGCAATTAATCTATGAATCCCTATGGAATCGCATTTGATGCAACTTCCGATTCACTATACATAGCAGACTATGGCAATAGTAGAGTTATGTTCTACGCATCAGGAGCATGATCAGGTATTTTAGTGGCCGATGGGAATGGTAACGGAATAAACATTACACAGTTGCGAGGCCCACTTCGTGTTTATTACAATTCGTTCTCGAACAGTTTAATTATTGTAAATTATGCAACCAGTAACATCGTTCGCTGGCCGCTGGGTGGTGATAGCTAGTCACTACTAGCTGCGGATGCCAATGGAATTTCTGGAAACAATGAAAACAACGTTAAATGGCCCGATGGACGTCAGTTTGGATTGTATGGGTAACATTTACGTTGCCGATAGAGCTAATCATCGAATACAATTATTTATGAGCTGACAAACAGAAGCAATAACTGTTGTTGGAGTTTCAGGTATATGCGGCAATAATTCTACTTTGTTATGTGGACCCTGGTCTGTAAAACTTGACAGTCAACTAAATTTATATGTTACAGATACCAGTAATCATAGAATACAAACGTTTGTACGATATTGACGAATACTTGATCGATAATCAGTACATTAAAGAAAATGTGGCTGTATACCCATGTCGTACAAACCGATCGAAAACCGTCGGTTAACCGATTTTTATAAAAATTGACCGCGGTTAACCGACGGTTGTCGATCGGTTTGTGCGACATGGGTATGTTTTCGTTCATTTCGTTTTAATCAATGTAATATATACCACTTTTTATGTTACAGCCTTTCTTTACATTATATATTTCTAGCATACTACAAGTAACAACAATATTTAGTTTAGCTAAATAGAATCGCTTTAAGTGCAGAATTGCATCATACGTGAATAATAATTCTTTTAAAAACTGCACGAAATTCTGATAGCAAACGATATAAGTTTTAGAATATTGTCATAGAACACTCGCAATCAGATGTTTTGTGTTAAGATGTTCTTTATATTCCTCTAATGAGTACATCATTGAAGTTGGACCACAACATAGAACACAAATCTGCACTTGTTTATGTTTTGCGTTAACATGAGCCACAAGTCCATTCGTTTTGAAATACTTGAGATGACGGCATGAATCGATTGGGCATAGATTTGTTTCACCGTTCGTAACAGCGGTCATTTGATTGCCTGACAATAGCACAATTCGTATTTTTGTGGCTTCCACGTTTGGGCACGTAATAAAACCTTTATTGTTCAGCATACATTTGTACTTCTTGTTCCTTGATTTATGTGCGTGAAATTTTTGTGTAGCCATAGCTGTCGATGAACATGTGCATGTAACAAGAGAAATATCATGTTTGGCGATCGTATGTCGATGCATATCTTCGGTTGACGCAAATTTCCTTGAACATCGCAGACAGTTGATATTTTTTTCAGCAATCAGCGATTTCTTCGATAAAACAGTTTTACTCAAATCAAGTGTTGCATGCTTGCTGGCAATATGCTGTTGAACTCTTTCCATTTTTGTGAATATCTCTGAACACATTGGACATTTTATTTGACTTTCTACAACGTTTTTTTGTGCGCTAAGTTGATTTGAAGTCATTCTTGATGTAACCATGTAATGTTTACAGATAACGTGCTGATTAGCATTGAAAATACTGAAGAAATTTGCTCCACAGATTGGACATCGATTGTCTTTTATGCTGATTGTGGTTTGTGTTATTGACGGCAATGGTTGGCCTAACTGTTGTACATTTGAATTCAATACCATTTTTGTTTTAATTTCTTCTATATTGAAAAATAGGTCTGAGTCTCGTATAGCAACACTAGGCCACGATTTCAGATGATATTTATCGGCCACATTCGAAGAAGCGTATTTGTTGTTCTGCTGTTCAAGATGACTTAAAATTTCGTTGAATGATGCACTACTAGGACTTCCAAGTTTTTTTAGTTCTATCTTGCCATAACCGTAATCTTGATTAACAGTGCTAACAACTTCTTCGAAAATTTCATCGCCACCTGTTATAAGTAAAACAGAAGAGAATTCATCGACGAGTTTGCCAAGAAAATAAATAAGTTTTCCATCAGTTGCATTTTTTTTGTTAGTTTTGATTGATGGATAACAGTGGATATGTGGCAATTTTCTTAAATCATTGAGTTTATCATTGATAACCTTATCATTATTATTCCAGAATAGGTAGAGCTCACAATTGCTTGGCAGGTTTGAAAGAAGAGATTTCTCATCAAAAATTGCTCCACGACCACCGTCACAATCAACAAGGATAAGCTGACGATATGGAAATAATGTCATGACAGTAAAAAAGACAGCGTTCTTGATTTAAAATATTGTGTCTGTTCCAAAGTTCCAAGAAGAAAAGCAAAATGTTTCTTAACTTCAATCTATGAAACTGTTGGCTGTTCTTTTTCTCTCGTGTTTTTAGTTATTTCTCACCTTTTTTATCTCTTCTTTGTCAGTCTCGATGTGAGAGAAAATACTTTCCCTTAGACACGAGAAGCAAAGATGAGAATAGATTAACAATAAAAAAAAATAGAGAAATTTTATACTAAATGACAAGGGTGTGGATATTCATCTGTTCTTCCTTCACACATCTACAATTGCACCCCACCTGCCACTTCATTCTTACAGCTTGAAGTATTCGAAACTTTGACATCTGTACTATTGACATAGCTTTTGTCATCTGCAACAAGAATTTTCCAAACTGACGGAATCATTGTCCTAGAAAATTGTGATCATTTATTTTTATAGTTATGAATATTGGGGATTTTTAATTAACATATTATTCCTGTTAAAAATAGTTTTGCATCCATGAAATGTTTAGTTAGATATGAACATGGATTTTACACTCGAATTTTGCGAACGGCACGAATTTATTTCTAAAAAAACAACCAACCCGCTTACGATTCGATTGTTAACCAAAACAATTAAAAACTGATGCAGAATTATAAAATTTAATATGGTAAACAGAAAAATATTCATCATGCTAAATATGGTTCGAGATATTTCACTATTGTCTACTTGTTGTTATCCGCCACGTTTAGTTGTTGCTGGCGTGCTTATTACTTGCGAGCCACTTGTTGTAACAGTGACAGTCTGGAGCGTACTAGTGAATGATGTCGACTCTTCTAAAATTATTTAAATGCAAGAGTAAATATTCATGGATATTATATACTCACTTGAGTCATGTAGATATAAAGTTAATACTGTTGCGAAGACAATGCTGCCTATCAAAGCGCCAAGTAAAATTCCAACGAGTAAATATTTTGAAAAAAAATGTGATCTTTTAAAAAAAATCAAATGTATATTTTCTTCACAAGAAATTCAGCCAGAGAGAGTAGACTTACTTTTTCATATCGACTTGTTCACCGTGATTGTACTCCATTTGCTCGACAGTATCCGATATTATTCCTAAAAATTGCTGCTGCGATGATACCATTGTCGATCTATAAAATAGAGCAAGAAAGAAATCAATGTTCATTGTTCATTCATTAACATATCAATGTTTTTCGCTTGTTATCTCTATGACCTCGTTCGATGCTCAAAAACAAATACTCTGCCAAGATTGCACGTAATGGTGGCGTTGTTAATCTCGAAGTTTGAAATAAAAAAGGAGTGCATATAATACGTGTTTTATTAAACAGAAAACAAGGATTCAGCTTGCTGTTCGAAGTTGAGTTAGTTGTTTTTTTTTAATTATGAATAAAAGATCAACACTTTTTTATTCCCCAACTTGTCATGTATATTCAAGAGAAAGAAAAACAGCAACTTCTCGTCGATAAAAAATTGAGGTTGTTGAAAAACAACGATGCCAGCCTGTACTTTAAATTCATTTCAGTGTACGTAGATCGAGTAATAGGATTGCTTTTACATGAAAGGAGACTCATAGCAATGGTTAAATCAAAGAATATGGGTATTATCCACCCAGCACTCCTAGAATCTCGCAGAAAATCTATGTTCCATATCTAGAGTAGACAGATATAGAGACCTCTTTTTTTGCTTCGATATCATTTGTGTCGGATGGCATCACATTCTTTCAGTAGATACTACGTATTACTCTGCTCATTGACTCATCGACAGAGGTCGCTAGTCCACAAAAACAGGAAAAATTGTGAAAAAAACTTCGTATTTTTACATCTAGGATATTTTAGTCTTGACAATTTTGTTTCTTTCTTGTTGTCTTCGAATTTTTTTCAATAAATATAACGATAGACTAGGTCATTGCTAAGCAGTTATTCATGAAAATGGTTGTCAACATTCTGACAAACTCAATCTCAATAGACAGCCATTGTATCGGTATAATCAACTTGTCGATTTCATCATCAAACAATGTCAACTCCTAACAATCAACAACAAGAGCGTCTAGATAATTTGCAACGTCTCGAACTTGAATCAACAATTGGCTTCGAAGGTTCATATTCATTCGAAAAATTTCTTCCATATGATTATTTTATTTTTTGTATAATTTAGGAAAAATTCCTAATGGCCTTAAACTTCATCCAGATCGTATTCATATGATATATCCATTAGGATGTAATTTAGTTATTGAAAATTTACAAACTCGACAACAGGAATTTCTTCTCGGACATAATAATAATATTTCCTGTTTGACTATATCGAATAATGGAAAATATATAGCCTCAGGTCAAGTCACATTTATGGGCTTTAAGGTAAGTAATAGACAAAAAGAAAATTCCTTTTTTTTCCTTCAAATCAATCAATTCTCAAAAAGATACTTGAATTAAAATAGGCCGATATTATCGTTTGGGATTATGCGACTCGTGATCCATATGCACGACTTGTTCTACACAAGGTCAAAATTGAAGATCTTGCTTTTACTTGTACCGATCGATTTTTGGTTTCATTGGGTGGACAAGACGATGGTGCTATTATAGTTTGGAATATGGAAACCAAAGAACCCGTATGTGGTAGTGCCGCTCAACATAAAAGTGCTGGTATTACTTATTGTTTGGCCACATCAAAAGAAGATGAATTTCAATTTTACAGTGCTGGAAGGTATTTAAAAAATAATTTTTTTCTTTTTCTAAACAATAATTCAAAAATTTAGTGGTACACTTCGTTTTTGGCAATTGGATGTAGGTAATCGAAAAATTCGACCAACCGATATTAATACCGGCATCGTGAAACGAATTGTGAAATGTATGACTGTAAGTATGATCAAGAAGAAAAACTATTTTACTAATTAACTCTCATTTTCTTCTTCGCTATATCGAAGGTTTCACTTGATGGTACCTTTCTCTATTGTGGTACAACAACAGGAGATATACTGATGATTTACATTCCAGCCTGTCAATTTAAAACAATCGGACCTGAAAAGAAAAAATATTCTATGGGTATTTCAGCTATGCAAGCATTAATAAACGGTGATGTTTTAATTGGTACAGGCGAAGGCAAAATTCATATTACAGAAAAGGAAACATTCAAATCATTTAAGTAAAGTTTGTTTTTCTATTAATCGATAATGAGACTATTTAAGTTTTATTTACTTAGAACATTACAAGCGACGGGCAGTATTACATCATTAGCCTTAAGAGGCGAAGGTCATATGGTACGGATAAACAAGAACTATTTTGTTTTGTCCTCTAATATTGTAAAATGAAAAGACTCAATTTCTCTAGATTTTTATTGGTACTGATCGATCACATATTTATAAAGTAAATTATGCCGATTGGAAAATGGAATTAATTAACACATGTCATAATTCACCAATTAATGATATTGCTTTTCCATTGTAAGTTGAAAATTGAGTTTTATGATCTAATTTGTTTGAGTTTTTTTAGTGGAACATCGGAACTATTTGGTACTTGCAGTTATCAAGATATTCGGTAAGACAAATAGAATCTTCTAAATAATATCTACAAAGAATACATTCTATTCTCCAATGTTGAACATTCCGGAACCAATTCCATCTAATTCCGGCGATTCCGTTTATCTCTTCCGACTCAATTCCGGAATTACTTCTAATTCCCACTGATTCCGCTTTTACCGAATTCCGGACCGGGATCGGATCATCACTAGATGGATAAGAGAAGATAGAATAGTGAAACAAGGTGTAATTCCGGAATCGACGGAACTGATTCCGGGGGCGAATCTGGTTCCGGAATGTTCAACATTGCGGAATAGGATGCCTGCTCTATCTGAGTGTGTTCTTAACCAACCTTTAGCTTAATTAGTCTAATGAGTAAAGATATGGAAATTCTTACTAAGATTTTCCCTCAAGCGAATGAAGGGCGATGAAACCATCCTTGATATTCTGAAATCTTCAGTTTTTCTCGTACATACGTACCTATCAACAAATAAAAAATGGGATCACAGGTTAACTAACCGTCCATATTCGCTTGTTTTAAATAGTATTTGGCACGCACCAACTGGTAATGAATTATTACGAATTACAGAAGCCAATAAAACATGTAATTCTCTATGTTTTACTCGCGATGGAAAAATGATCATCAGGTATAGATATGAGGTTTTTTCCTCGTTTTGTTTGAACAAAATATTCTATGCATATAGTGGCTGGGATGATGGTCGTATTCGTGCGTTTTATCCTGAAACAGGTCGTGAAATATTTACAATCAACGATGCACATAATCGTGGCGTAACAGCTGTTACTGTGACCAATGATTGTCGACGAATAATTAGTGGTGGTGGCGAAGGCATGATACGTATTTGGCAAATAAATCCGAAATCACGTGAAATTTTAGCAACAATGAAAGAACATAAAAATGCTGTTGTTGCTATTCGAATTAATAAATCAGATACGGAATGCGTTACGGCTTCACTCGATGGCACTTGTATTATTTGGAATTTGAAGTAGAAGAGAATTTATTTTCATTTTATTTTTTACGTACGATTTTATTTTCAGACGTTTCGCACGTACTCAAGTTTTATTTGAAAATACACTTTTTCAATGTGTTGCTTATCATCCGGAAGAATATCATATATTAACAGGAGGTAGTGATCGAAAAGTCGCCTATTGGGAAGCAGTCAATGGTACACAAATACGTGAACTAGAAGCATCGAAAAGTGGAACCATTAATGGACTTGATATCGATAGCGTTGGCAATTATTTTGTCACTGTTAGTGGTGACAAATTAGTAAAGGTGAGTCAATTATTTTTTTTTCAATTCTCATATAGAAATTCATAATGTTGCTTTTCATGAACCTAGTTATGGCGTTATAATGAAGGCGACGTATTCGGCATTGGTATTGGTCATGGTAGTGAAGTAAAGAAAGTTAAAATATGTCCAAATACACAACATATTGTTTCTGTGAGTGCCGATGGAAGTGTATTTCGATGGAAATTTCCTAAATCGACAGCTTAATCGATCACCTATCAAAAGAACATTTAGTTTGATTTTCTTTTGAATACATTACATTTTTATGCCTCTTCTTTTTGAAATGTATATGAATAAATAACGAGTTTTTTTTACAAGAAATATAAAAAAAACATATTTCCCTAGTGTGAATGACTTAGCGGCCTATATCTAAAAATGGCCCGAACGCATTTTTAAGTCTTATCATAGTGATATCTCTCTATAATCATGGGTTGTCTATATCGCTTCTTTTCCACAGACATGTGGCATCGGGCAGACAGCGCCCGTTAGATTTATGTAGCTAATGTAAAATACGGCGTGTGAAAAAATCTTGTTAATTTCCAAAATCTCGCTTTTAAACTTGCCTAGCATTTTCTTCGTAAATGTATGAGATAAACGATTAAAATAAGAAAACACTAGATTGAGTGCAACTGCATGATATCGATATTGTTGAAGTACTAATGCTAATCACTAATGACAAAAAACACTGTCTTTCAAAAATCAATCGGTTTGAAACAAGCGAAACTTAAACCGATTCCAAGAGAACAAAAATGTTTGTATGATTTTTGTTTTTATAGAAAATATTTCCATAAATGTTTATTGGAACGAATTAACACGTCAAAAACGACGTAGATGTGGCCCTGGAAGTTCTGTCAAAGAAAACAAAAGACCTTTCCTGCCTGACCAATAGGAAAAGAGAGGAAGAGTGAAAATTTGTCGAAAAATTTATAGATAAAAATTAATTTGTTTTTATCAAAAATAGAAAATGGTACTTTGAACCCTGCTCGAAGTAAATGAAGATATTTGAGAAAAATAGTATTCTCCTGTTTTCATAGTATATTAACTTTTTATATAACCGACGAAGAATATTTTAATCTAATCATTATTAGATCAGTCAAATCGAGCCTTTTGTGATAGATGTTATTTAAAATGTATGAGCTTATTTGAGGTAATGTATGTCTATAACAACTGCGATATATCCGACACACATGTGCTCTCTTTGATATCAACGATTTATCTATCATTGCGTGAAAATTCTTTTTTTTGTCACTATTTAACTAATTGCTGTCAACTACAAGTTCTACTTAGAAATTCATTTTTTTAAATTAAATACGACTAATTTCCGTATGAACCAATTAACGTCGATTAATTTTCATACACTCGAAAAAGCACATACATATTTGTGCACACATAAAATGAATAGCTTGTGATTTATTCTTTAGTTGTTGAAGTTTGTAAAAAAAGAACGCTCACCTGACTCAACACCTTCTGTAACATCAGGAAAAAGTGAAATTGACGACAGGAAGTCAATAATTGCATGAAGAAGCAGCTGAAAAAGATAATGATGATGAACAGTGTTCAGTATATCTTCCAATATTTCTTTTTTTCTGCTTTCGATTTAAACATCAAGATGTTTGTTATCAATAAAAAGTTTAAAGTGCATCACACGTTTTTATGTAATGACTTAAAAATTCGGGACACTGGATTTTTTCGAATTGCTCCGTCCCGAAAAAATTTCGGGCCAGTCCCGCAGGACTATAGTACTAAGGCATTAATCTGCGGCTATCACTCGCTTCAAAAACAATATTAGATCGAATAAAATTGATTATTTATAACAAGTAGTTAACCAAACATGGTTTTAGTTTTATTTCGGAAAAAGAAACAAACTGAATATTTTCTTTAAGCACTGATTGTTTTAAAGATGTTAAAACCGGATAGAGCAGTACTAACTAATACACCAGGTATTTGTCGATGCCAATGTACTTCTTTTATATCTGTTTGTCCCATATGAATAAACAGCAACTGATCCGGTATGTTTTCCACTTGATTATTATTATTACTAGCTGCTTGTTCGTTTTTCTCTTCGTCATCTTTTTCTACAGCTAAATCCCATAATGTTATTTGATTATCGGATCCAGCTGCAGCAAATACACTTGAATCTGTATGATGCCATTGAACACTCGTTATCGATGAACGATGATGTTTAAACGATGCAACTGGCGTGCTTTTCTAAATACAACGAGAAAACTTTCGGCGTGAAGATTCTTTTTTTTTCTTTACATACAGAAAATTGTCTTAAATCCCAAACTTTAATAAAACCATCATCACCACCAGATACAATAAATGGCTCATGCTTATTCCAACTGATAACATTGACATCGGATGAATGTGCGTCAGCTTCGGTTAACATGCAAGCTTTCGATGGCATAGCACGAATATCCCATATACGAATACTTCGATCAACACTACACGAAGTAAAAACCTGTAATAGACAACAAAAAAAAAGAAATGCAAATAATCGTTTTGTTTCTGCATTGATATTTACACTTTGTTCATTTGGTGACCATTGAATATCTTCAACAGACGATGTATGGCCAGTGAAAGGTCTTTGATCAACATGCCATTCGGTTTCATTTGGTTTCCATACATGAATATTTTTTGAACAATCACCTGTTGCTAACATTCCTACTCAGAGAAAAAAAAATAAAAGTTAGCTTTCGAAATTAATCAAGTATTTATTTACCTGGAATTGTCGGCGACCAATCCATAGCAAAACCTAAGAAATAAAATCTTCGAAGTGTTTTCTTTTTTTGAAAATGAAAATATTAATTTTACCTTCATTTGTATGTCCACTAAATGTATATAATGGCCTTGGCGATTCTTGATTACGAACATAAGCAGCCATAACAGATGAATCATTGACAGCATGAATTAATCGGCTTAAATCCCAAATATGAACTTTTCCTGCATCGGACCATGTCGCCGCTATTTTACGATCATTAATAACTGTTGACTGATGAAAAGAGCCGATACAAGTATTTTCATTTCGAAAGCTCATTTCTAGTAGTGACTTACTCGTATTCGATTCACACCGCCAATGTGCCTTAAAGAAACTGATTCAAACTCTGGTTTTGTATCTTCTTCTTCATCGTCATCGCCATCGGATTCAGATTCTGCTGCATTTTCCTAGATAGAAATTTGTTCGTTTCATCAAAAATCATTTTCAATATCGGCAGCACTGGATTGAGTCAAAATTCTTACTTTTAAAGTTTTGGTTAAATTTGACAATTTTACAACCATGACACTATTTCGATCAGATTTTTCTGCTTGCGTTCCGCAGACGATATAGACTGTATGCGGATATTGACTTCTATCCATACCCAAACTATCAGTTAATATATCAAAACTTAAACATGGATCGCCTAGACAAAAAAAAAGAACTCATTGATAAATTCCTTTCGATGTTTATCATACACGTACTTGCCTGTTTGTGCTTCATGAAACATTTCGTATGCACTTTCTTCTCGAACAAGTTCTTCGTCTTCATTTAGTGGATCACCTGGTAAGTAGACTTGTTTCCCGGTGGCCTTTTCTCCGCCAGCGGCAGCTAAATCTTCTGATTCCATATCTTCGTATTCGTTGTCTTCGTTGACTTTTTTTTGTGCTTTTTTCTTCTTATTTTTTCCTTTTGTTTTAACCATTTTCTAAAAGATCTAGAAAGCGCAATATCCACAATAATAATAATATAAAATAATATGCCACATAGAAAAACAATACGCCCAAGCAACAGCAAATTTTTTATCAAGAATGCGTTAAATTAAAAATTACGAAAAATAATCGTTTAAAAAACAAATATTGTCTTTATTAAATGCGACTCCGTCATTATTAATTGCTTCAATCTAGTCTGTATCGATAGCCGGCGATTCTTGTAGACCTTCGGCCTTTAGTTTTTCGAATGCTGCATAAGCAGCTGCTTCGTTGGCTTGTTTTCGTTGATTACGTGTTTCATAAGCTAATCTAAAACGAAAAATAAAGTAACAAAAAAAGCAGAACTAAATTTTCTATTAACAAACCGATTGTTAATGATACGAGTTATAATATCTTGTGTTGACATCGGATTTCCAGTATCGATCTGTTGAAATTTTTCAAGACCCTTCGGAACTTCATAGGGGTCACGTCCGTCTACGTCAGGATCATAGGGTGTTCGTCCGTGAATCACAACTGATACCTTAAAATGATTCATTAATTCCAGTGTAATAGCGTACGGTGCGCTAATAACAACTTCATCGACATACTATCAAAGCAATTGCCAAAATTAAATAAATTAATGCATTTTGTTTTTCAAATCTTACTCGACAAGCCAACAAACTTAACACACGTTCGTGAATATTCATTATTGGATGGTTACTTCCTTTATATTGATTAACAATCTGAAGATAGAACAAAATAGTTATTTGGCATTATTATGATCACAAATATTTACTCGATCGGAATGTATACCAACAATAAGATAATCACCAAATGTTTTGGCTTTTTCAAGAAAATCAACATGACCAACATGGAATAAATCATATGCACCAGCGGTATAGATTACTCGATCACCAGGCTAAATGAATAAATAAATTCGTGTAAAGATTGAATCTCAATCATCAGTGGTGAACACATGAGATAAGTTCTGAATCGGAGCTGAGCTTTAGAATGTTATAACTTGATGGTCAGTTAAGTTTGCGTGAGGTGCGACACCGGTCGAATTAAAAAATTCGTGCAGAGTGAGTGAATTTAGTAAAAGTCGGGCATTTTCATTTCCGACAGGTGCTTACGATTAATGAACTCACACTGTGTATCTCTAATCCAGACTGCTTCATGCACATTGGATACATAAATTTAGGAGATCTCAAACAAAGAACACCGATGAAGATCATCCGATCGCTTCTGAAATACGATTTTTTTATTTACTTTTGGCTCTCGACCATTTGAAAATTGGATAATTTTATTAGTGGTTGGAAGAAATTGTGAAGCACCTGTCCATGGATTGACACTTTCTTTGCATAAGCTCATTCGACGTGTATTTTCTCGGTCGATCGATATATCATCTGGTTCATGATGAGATTTTGTGACCAGTAACATTCTAAACCATGACTCTGAATAATTTTCAAAACACGATTTCAATTCTTCATTCTAACCTTCCGACAAGATCCGTGGTTGATATGCCTTGCGTTCGTTTACATTCACGATATCGACCAGCTGCTTTCACAATATGATATGTATCAATACCATCAGCAGTTACCTGACAAATAAAAAGTTTTTCGTGTAACAAAAAAACTACAAATAGATTTTTCGTTGTTTTTTTACAGTTATATCATCTCCGTGTACACAAAATGCGCAATTATATTCTTCTAATGTTTCAAGTGTTGTTACATAGGGAGCATTTTCGACAACTTGATCTACCCATTTTATTGCTCGAACCATTTTATATCGTTCTTGTTCAGTGAACACTGGTGGGCCTTTATGTTTAGTGATTTCCTCTGAAGAAAAAAATTACGTAAGAATAGATTATTCTCTATGCTGAAATTTATATGAAGACGAACCATCTGAATGAACACCAACAATTAAATAATTGCCCATTTGTTTTGCTTGACGACACGCATTGGCATGACCATAATGCACCATATCATAACTTAAATAAATTCAGGGGGGCCATTGATTTTAGAGAAAAATTGAGAAACTCACCATCCATCCATCCATATTCGCAAGTCGTGATCAGGTTTCTCACCGGTCGCATAGGCTGCGCCCATATTTCTTATGTTTATACAGAAAGAGAATTATTAGAGTCTATAATGAAGTAAAAACATTTCCGATAGTAATCAATTACACTGTAAAATTCGCAAAAAATCGATCGGGTGAGCAGGATTTCATATCAATCATTCGCTCATTCGTCATTCACTATAGTACAATAGGAATTTACGAATGAAATCCCCCATCCAGTACACATTGGGGTGCTGATATTTCTAAAAGAAAAATCTACTTGAATAGATGTCGCCGCTCTATTGTGTCTTGAGAGACAACATACAGTGTAACTGCATGCAATGCTCAGAATCCACAGTGGTGGTATTCGGATGTTGCTGTTTAGTCACTCAGTTTGTTTCCCGCTAATTATTATTACTGACGAATTTTTTAATTGCTGAAACATATTTATGAAGGTAAACAGTTTATCTTAAACAAAATACTAATTCTTTGCATTGCTAATTCAGTAAAAATCTGTTGAGATTTCTTGTTTCGAAATAGTAATATGATTATGATGGAAAATCCGTGCAAAAATTAATCTCAAAAGATAAAATTTAACATGCATCCATCGTGAATCATATTCCATTGTAAAATGTAGAATACCAAAAGAAGAGAATGACTACTGCGAGTCAGTAAATATATGACAAAACCATTGATGAGTCATGAGAACCAGAAGATGCAAAAGAATAAAAAAAACAACGCCAGCAACCATCTTCTGCATTTTTACTACGAAATACACACGCACACTGACATTTATATGCAAGTAAACGATGGTTCTTGATACACAAAATCTCATTTTATTGATTGTTTTCTTGATCGTGGGTATTGGTCTTATAATATGTTGCATCTATTGTTGTGCTTGCAAGCCAGCATGTGTCAGTTTTCGTCAACGCATAATTCATCGGCAAATAGCACGAGACGAAGAAGTGATCGAACAAGAACGTGAAACGGCTCAAAATCAATTACGAGATACATTTGCGGAAAACCAACAAACACGAGATGACATTCGCAATAAGTATCAACTAAAATAACTTCATTGAGAATTCTTTTTTTTGCAATAAATGTTAACTTTATTTCTTTATCAGCTCGAATCATCACCGGAGGCGTAAAAACTAAAAAACCCTGTACCGCTTACAGGTTACATATTTTTTGATTCGTGCACTTTCGTTTAAATTAATTAAAAATTTCAAATGTATTTGATTCCTTACTGTTACACGGGGTTTGAAGTACCTGATATAAATTACACCTGCTTATTAAAGAGGAAAAATTTATTCGTAGAGTTTTTGAAGGACGATGTTTTCAATCTGTTCTAATATGTTTCAAGTAAAAATATATACTTTACAGAAAATAATAAATGCGCTTTTTTCTCATGCTAAAGAATGCGCCGTCCATCGTTTGTTTTTGGTAATTATTTTCGGTAAGACGCCCAGTGGCGGTAGTTGCTGTTCTAAATGCGTGGGAAACGTAAGACGAAGAATAGGTACCGTTGTAATAACAGCAAATGGGCCAGACGAAAAATCTGCTGTAGGCTTTTTTTGCGGGTTTTGCGTTTGAGTATTGTTTTTTATTTTAGACCATTTAGAAACGGATTCTATTTTTGTGGCTTTTGTTCGTTTTATAGGTGGTAGTGAAATGAATGATGACGTAGAGCATTTCAACTTATCTTTTGTCACATTTTCGCGACGTTTTGGTCGCCGTTGGATATATTTTTTTCTTGGTTTTTCACTAGGCATTTGATGATAAATCTTTGGTTTTGAAAGACGATTAACAGTTTCCATACTGAATACTTTGATTTTACTGCGTGTAGATCGTTTTGTAGGCGATGAATTCTGTTGTAGACATTTTGGTTTGATATTCGTTGATACATGAACTTTTACTTCATCGATATTTTTATTTGATATTGGTCCTACTGATAGTTGAGATACAAGCGGCGGGTTCACAATTGTTTCTGATGTATTTGAAAGTGTAGTCGATTCAGTAGCCATTGAAGATGTTCTTGATATTGTACGATTGAATAATGGTTTATCACTGGGCGCATAATTTGGTGGTCGATGAAGATATCGATTTTTTATGATATTGCGGTGAAAATCTTCTAATGTTTTAATCGATCCTATTTTTTTATCATTTTTAGTAATCGCAAATAAAATATCTTTTGTTGATTTTTGTTGTTCTTCTTCTGAACGAACAATATCTCGTAGTGGGTTTTTTGCGACAGAAATTTTGTTATCGAAATCAGATAAAAAGTTTTTATGGCACTTTGATAATTCATCAAATCGATTGAAAAGACTATCGATCGAACGTAATGCCGGAATCATATTTTTGTGTGTTAAGCCAACAGAAAAAAAAACAAGAAATGAAATGTTATTTATCAAAATTACAACAAAATAAAAAGTTTAATTTTCTTTTTGACATGCATCAAGAAAAAAACACTCATAGATTTTGTTAGTGTTTGCATATTTAACTTTCATCGTATAAAGCTTCTTTACTTAATCAAGAATTAAGTAGGAAAAAGTGCTGCGTAAATAAAACATGTGAAATACAGTTTACTACGCGATTGCATGACGTGAGCAAATTTGAATTTAAGTCAGATTTTTACATAGAGTTGAACGTGTATTTGCTACTTCTTTGGTGGACGATGGTGAGCTTTGAAAAATCATGCTTTTCTGTCTATATTATTGTTTTTAATAAAGACGAATTTTTATTTTGTCTGATACTGTCTGGCAAAATTTAGCCCTCTCAGCTGCTCAACCGTGGTATCCACGTCCCATATGAAGAACTGTACACCTCGATATATATATAACTTCGCCCGATAGATGGTGCTAGATTTCAGGAAGATTTTTAGAAAGAATTAAATTATATTCAAATCTCATTTTTCTAAAACATAATCGGATAAAAATGAATTCTTAGCAATAAAATTTTCAAATAGTCAAAAAAATGTAATTGATTATAGATGCATAGATGAATATAGAGGTGGTCGAAACAATTGGATGATTCAAATACATCTTTGTCGTTAATGGAAGATGAATTCGATTAAATAAGTATGTATTTAAGATATAAAATGTAGATTCTTTTCTTAGTAGATTCATTTTAATGGATACGTTTGGTTCTGACTGGCACACTATCATATGGTGTTGTTTTTTTTTAAATAAATATCAAACCGGGTCTAATAAATTCACAAGTTGAACTCTCTCGGATGTTCAGTGACGGAATCTTGTTCATGGTTCTTGTTCGAATTTTCAATGCTGAGAAATAATAATGTTAAACTGTTGATGAACTTGAGATTTATTCTTATATGTAACTCGAGTTAGTGCAGTTTCAACAAACTATTTTATACATCGATGAGAGCGTAAAATCACAATTTTCCTTCATATTTTCAAAACAGCATAGTCTGAAAAACTTTGAGGAGATCGTTTCGGCATATTAAAGTTGATTGAATTTTACTTCTAGATCATGCCCATCGAAGATTTATCTGAAGAAGGCCTTCCTAAAGTGCCGAATCTTGAATTGGCACAATTAAAATTTCTCATAACACTTCAACCCAATAATAAAAGCTTAAAAGAAAAATTATTAAATGAAATCAAAGCAAATAATATGACACCATTTTATCTTGAATGCGTCAAAGATGGAGAATTATCATCTGATGATAAACTTGTTCAAACGATGCGTAAAGCCAATGAAGACAAACTAAAAGAATTAGACGGAAAAATCGAAGACAATGAAAAAGCATTCGGCGATAGTGAAATACGTGAAAGTTATTTAGCTAAATCTCAATATTTATGTTTGATTGGCGATCGTGAACAAGCTCTAACATGGATACGGAAAACTGCCGATAAAAGTGTTGCATTAGGACATCGTTTGGATTTAATCTTCTATCAATTACGTTTAGGATTATTTTATATGGATCAAGATTTAATTGCAAGAAATTTAGATAAAGCTAAAACACTTGTTGACGAAGGTGGAGATTGGGACAGACGCAATCGTATGAAAGTTTATCAAGGTCTACGAGCCATGTCCATTCGAGATTTCAAAGCAGCTGCGGAATTGTTTCTTGATACAGTCGCAACATTTACATCGTATGAATTAATGGACTATCAAACATTTGTTACGTACACCGTTATTTGCTGTCTTCTGTCTTTGGAAAGACCCAAATTACGTGAAAAAGGTATCCTTTTAGAGTTCGAAGATTTGTACTGAGTATTTAGTGAGAATGTTAATAATGCATTTTTTTTGTTTTCTTGTTTAGTTATTCGTGGAAGTGAAATCTTGGAGATTCTTCATGGTTTACCTTTGATTAAAGAATATTTATTTTCACTTTATGAATGTCGTTATGCAGATTTTTTCCGTTGCCTAGCAACAATCGAACAAGATTTACTAGTTAAAGATCGTTATTTAGCCGTACACGCATCATATTATGTACGTGAAATGCGTATCATTGGTTACAATCAATTGTTACAATCATATTCATCGTTAACACTCAAAGGAATGGCACAATCGTTCGGATGTTCGGAGAATTTTCTCGATAAAGAACTATCAAGATTTATCGCCAGTGGCCGACTCAATTGTAAAATCGATAAAGTACGAGGAATTATCGAAACAACAAGACCCGATTCGAAAAATTTTCTCTATCAGGAAGTAATCAAGAAAGGTGATTTATTATTGAATCGTGTGCAAAAATTAAGTCGCGTCATCAACATTTAATTCAAACCGATTGGCTGAAAACAATTTTAACAGACTTGTTTAAGTTCTTCTTTTTTTTTATATATATGAGCAAACAAAATGTGAATAAACAAGAATTTTAACGTTATATGAATATGTTGCGTTTTTTTTGTTTTGTCGTATATATGATTATTTAACAATTACAATACAATAGGAAACAATATTTTGAATACATATCATTTCGAATCAATGAAAAAAAGAATAAAGCGTAAAATTTCATTTTAACCTTGAATAGCCTATAAAAAAAAACCTATTCATTTGTGGTGCTAACAGACTCACAATTATTACCTGGCGATGGATGCTACAATCATTCATTAGTCGCCTGTATCCCCCCCCCCCTCGAGTTTATAATTGATTTTTACAAACGACATTACTTCGTAGACATAATTGGTCTATACGGTAAAAATCTCCTTCAAGAAAAAAACAATTTGATTACCTTTTTATGATTTATTTCTTTTGATAAATAAGAGAAAAGAATATTTGTAAGTTATCAAGTAACACACCTGGAAACATTCATACGTTGTTTAGAAATTAGATCTTATTTTTGCTATTATGTACTGTATGGATCAAGTTACTGAGTAAATATTATTTGCATAGCGGGATATCTTAGCTACTTATACGTTTGTAAGAACTTCCGGAATATTAAGAATACTCGAGTACTATTTTTATTAGGCTTAATGTATATAAGCTAAGTGTAAAAAACAATGTTACGTACTGCTTTATTTCCCTACGATTGCTTACATAAAATATTATTATTCTCACCACTCGACTAGGTCGATAAGAGCAAAAAGAGTAAATAGTTTAGATATATGTTGCCAGTTATAAATTGATTTCTGATCGGCTTCTATATGAAAATACGTCCAAAGAGAGAAAAAAAACATGTTACTCATATTAGACGCTCTTCTCATTTTACGCTCGTACGTTTTAAACATGGGTGACACGCGAGTCGATTTTTTTTTCGTACCCAATATTGTTACCTTTTTTCTTCTTGCTACTTGTCATGAAGATGTGTTGATAAAAGACAAAATATTCGAACTTCGATATGGGTAGGCATATGAATCGACAACTGAGGTTTTCTTTTTGTTTCTTAGTATTATTGTGTAGAATCACGAGTTAACGATCCGACATGTTTTGACTAAATAATGTTAATGATATTATATTACGTGTTTGGTCTAGACATCGAGAAAGTAATACTTAGAAGAAATAAAAACCTTGAAATAATAGTCTCTGTAGATTGATAATACTTGTGTAGCATATGGCGATTTTACATTAAAATAATTAATAAAAAAACGAAGCAGTTAACAGCTGATTACAAAAAAAAATGCCAAGGCTAATTATGACGTAGGTAGCTATGTGAACGATAGATAAAATGAGTAGTAATTCTATGACGTCAATTGATGTTAACAATTGTCTAATGTCTTGTTTTCTTTTTGATTAACTTTCGTGACCGGATACGTAAGTAATGAATACTTTTTGGCGCATATATAGTAAAAACCTATGACGATATTCACTCGCGTCCGCTTTTTATGTTTGCATATATAATCCATTGATAACATGTATGTTATATCATCAGATCAAATGATCTTTTTATTTCCTAAAAGTGTATATATATATATAGAGAGAGAGAGAGAGAGAGCGAAAATATTCTTCAGTAAATCCTTGTAGTAGATGAAGCACTTGAACGGATAGACGTTTTTTTTTCTGCTCGTATTTTCATTTCCTTTCTTCTATTAAAGTTCACTCGCCAACGCATGTTTCTATTTTCTATTTTTCATAGAAAGGAAGCATTACGGATCATTACATAGGGGACAATCGATTGATTTTAAACTAAAAGTTCAGCTAGAATTGTCATCGTGCTCCATAATCATTATTATTCTATCGCGTTCCATTTTGCTTTTTTGACAAGTGAAAACAGCGGCCGAGGACCCTCTAGAATGTTTTCCGATAAAATAAATAACTACCAGCTTACACTAATGAATCGATTGTCGATAACCAATTCGATCTTAATCATTTTCAAGTCAAAGTTACCTAATTCATGCTATAATATGTGTTTTAACATGTCGTTCGGTATGAAAGTATGCAGAGTACATGTTATGGGAATATTAAAAACAATATTCCCTAATGTTTTATAGAGAAGTGTAGACGCAGGTTAAATATAGCAGTCTTTTATCTTTTTCTTCATATCGTCGTACATCTGAACTTGCGATGCCTAAATATATATACATATGAACACATTGATACGTAGGCGTTAACTTATAGAAAGTCACGAGCATTCCGAGGTAAGATTGAAACTGTTGATAATACTTCTTCTTCAGTGAAGTGACCATAATATGCGTTCGTTTTTAATTGTGGGTGCAGAGAGAAAATAGAATATAAAAGTGAAAAAAACGGAAGTAAAAGCTAAAAATAGTTGTGATGAAAGAATTTTTCTAAGGAAGAAAAAATAATTTACTTTAAAAATATGCTTTTTGAAAATTCCCTTGTCAAGTCATATCCTGATTCACGTACGTATATATAAAATTTATTATAAGTTGTTGACAGTGAAAAAGAAATTGATTAAACGACACGCATTCTGGTAAAGCTGACGTCATCAATCAGTCATAAGGGATGAGTAACAATAGACATTAACTAGTAAATTCATTCTTCAACATCAGTAAATACGTATATTGACGCAGTATATCTTGTTTATTATGCGTCAGAATTTATTGGCGCAAAAATGACTTATGTAATATTACAGATAAAAGTAGCAACCAATCTTCTATTTTTACTTTCATGTTAATTTTACAAATGTATTTTGGTTCTGTTTCTGCTATCACAATAATGTTGATGTATGTGAAAAAAAGAAAGCGAAGCCGAGAGAAAAAAATAGTGACGTCAAATACTTTTTTTCTCCTTCTTTTTCTTGAACCGTACGCCAGAACTCTCGCTGTCATATTCTTTCCACCGTCTTTACCGTTCATTTTTTGATTCATTGTAATGCTTTGACTATTGTCAACCATTGTGAGTAATCTTTCGAAACTAAAAACGAAGGAAATTTCTAATGAAAAATTGATGACAAATATTGTTATCATTCAGCAAATATAAACAGCCTTTTTTTCTACCAACATGAAATTGACGTATGTGAATGGCTTCGTGAAAGGATTAACATTTTCTATTTTGCTTGAGAACGAGATCAAAAAAATGTGTCCCCTCCCCTCCCCCCTTATAATCATCATAGGCAACATCAGGATGTTTTTCAAATGGCAAAAATAGATATTGCTGATAGGGACGTCACCAGAAAAAAATTGTAGGGGGGAGAGCTAAGTCGTTGGTCAAAGCTATCGTGGGGGGGGG